CTATTTATTTTGGGGATTTATTTACCGCTACAGATCACTCCCCCCCTAGTGGGGCAGTGACGACCCTAAGACGTGGCCAGCCAGAAGTTTAAACCCAACGAGTTTGTCGTTGGTAAACACTCTTCTGATAGCTTACTAAGTGTAGCAGCGTCTGGTCGTCTTTCCTTACTATATGGGACGGAGGTACAACATAGTAAAAAAAGAAAATGTACATGAAAATTTCGGATCCTCATAAACGTCATCGTTCTTTTCCAGCCGTCCTGGAAAAGAAAAAAGAAAATGTAAGTGCATGTCGAAAATACACTCGTATGTGCGTAAAAGCACAATGTCGGCGGAAAAAAAATGGAAAAAAAACCCATGAACACGTAATAGCGTTAAAAAAATTGTTTTTTTGTTTTTTTTTAAAATAGAAATAAAACTATATAAGCATATTAAAATTGTTTTTTTTTAAAAAATAATATAAAATGTCGAGAAGTGCCTTACGTGCAATAGTCGTTTAGATGTTCTGAAAATCTCACCCTTCTTCCAGAACGCGTCGTTTTAAGTTTATTTTCGGATACTGTCGAAGTATCATCGTGTGTGTTGGTTGTCGGATGAGGTATTATAAGTGTCGGAGTCGTGTCGTTCGATTGTACCGAAGGAAAATCCACGTAGATAGGATTTCCTTCTAAATACGCTGCTTTTAAGCGATCGATACTGATGCTATCGTTGGTTCCGTTCTTATCGACTATATAGTACTTAGATTCACGTTGAAGAACTTTGAAGGGTCCTTCGTATGCTGATTCGAAGGGTCGTCGATGCGAGTCTCGACGAACGAAAACGTGTGTACTATATCGTAAGTCAGGTTGAACGAAAACATCAGTTGATTGAGGTCGAGTGGAAGCAGGTTTAACTGAACGCATTGCGTTTGTAAGCCTGTTCGTGTAGGAGGTTAGATCCATGTTCATTGAAGAGGATGAAGGATCCACGAATTCTCCTGGAAGTCGAAGTGTCGTTCCATAAACGAGTTGAGCCGCAGTGTATCCAATGTCAGCTTTCACTGCATTGCGGATACCTAGTAAGACGAGTGGAAGAGCGTCGGTCCACTGTGAAACGTTTGCAGCTGATAGCGAAGCTTTCAGTTGTCGGTGAAAACGTTCTACCAACCCGTTTGCTTGTGGATGGTAGGCGGTCGTTCGGAATCGAGTGATTCCTAAAAGTGTGGTCAGACGACGGAAAAGATCGGATTCAAACTGACGTCCGCGGTCTGTAGTGATGGTTGAAGGGCAGCCGAAGTTTGCTACCCATCGTTCGACGAAGGTGCGAGCCACTGTTTCAGCAGTGATGTCCTTGATAGGTACTGCTTCTGGCCATCGAGTGAAACGGTCTACGCAGGTTAAGAGGTAGGCATATCCGTTTGAATCTGGTAAAGGTCCTACCAAATCCAGATGAACATGGTCGAAACGAGCATCGGGAGTTTTAAACGAGCCTAAGGGACATTTATTGTGTCTGATAACCTTAGATTTTTGGCAGCTTACACAGGAGCGTGCCCACTCCCTCACGTCTTTATTCATTCCAGGCCAGCAAAACCTTTCTGCTATAAGCTTGATGGTTGCACGAACACCTGGATGCGAAAGTTTGTGCAATGTGTTGAAGACATTGCGTCGATAATGTTTCGGCACGATTGGGCGATCCCTAACTGTAGATGTGTCACAAAGTAAGGTTTCCTTACCTGTTCCCATCTGTTTGATGCGTAGTTTAAGTGTTGTGGACGATAACTCGTGCTGAAGATCACTGTCTTCTTTTTGAAGCTCGGCGAGTTTAAGAAGGTCGATTCCTTGGAAACTGTTCAAGGAAGTTATACGAGATAAAGCGTCTGCAACTACATTGTTTGCTCCAGAGATGTGTTGAATGTCTGAAGTAAACTGCGAAATGTAGTCCAGTTGTCGAGACTCACGGGGAGAGTACTTGTCTGAAGGAGAGCTTAACGAGAAAGTGAGCGGTTTATGGTCCGTGAAAAGAGTGAATTCACGACCTCCGATGTAGTGTTGAAAATGCCGTACAGCACAATACATAGCTAGGAGTTCCCTACCGAATGTGCTGTACCTGGATTCGGTATCTAGCAACCTTCTAGAGAAAAATGCCAAGGGTTGCCAGGAGTTGTTAACCCATTGTTGTAAGACTCCTCCGATTGCCGAGTCGGATGCGTCTACTGCGATGCTAATGGGTGCTCGGGTGTCCTGATGTGCGAGCATCGTTGCTTTAGCAATCAGTTCCTTAACTGTGGAGAATGCTTTTCGTGCGGTGTCGTCCAAATTAATGGATTTCGCATTTCCACGAAGTTGGTCGGTCAGAGGTTTCATAAGTAATGCGCATTTCGGTATGAAACGTCTATAGAAACTTACCAGGCCGTTAAACGTGCGTAATTGCTTGACGGTGGTCGGTTCTGGGTAATCCAGAATGGCCGCCACTTTGGTCCTAAGAGGTCGAATGCCTTGAGCATCGATAGTGTGTCCTAGGAAGTCTAACGAGTCGGTTCCGAATTGGCATTTCTGAACGTTTACAGTTATGCCATGTTTTTGAAGTCGTTCGAAAACAAGATCCAGATGCTTGAGATGTGTTTCTCTGTCCGGACTTGCGATTAGACAGTCGTCAACATACGCGTGTACGAAGTTGAGACCTCGAAAAACGTCGTCTATGAATCTTTGGAATGTTTGAGCAGCATTCCTTAGACCGAAAGGCATTCGCAAAAATTCATAGAGTCCGAAAGGAGTTATGATAGCTGTTTTCGGTATGTCGTCAGTAGCCATAGGGATTTGGTTATACGCTTTAACCAAGTCGATTTTCGAAAAGACAGTTGTACCTTTCAAGGTAGCTGTCAAATCGTGAATGTGAGGCAACGGGTAACGATCGGGAATGGTTTTCGCATTCAATCGCCGATAGTCACCAGTTGGACGTCAATCGTTGCTATCCTTTTTAGGGACCATGTGCAACGGAGATGCATATGGGCTGCTTGACGGTCGTATGATTCCTAAGTCCATCATGTGATCGAATTCGTTTTTCGCTAACCTTAGCTTTTCAGGAGCTAGTCGTCGTGCTTTAGAGAATACAGGTGGTCCTGTAGTCGTGATGTGATGTGTAACATTGCTGGTTACACACGGTAGTTTCGGTTGAGTTTGTTGTATCCCAGGGTACTTATCGAGTAGTGGTTGATAGAGTGGGTCTATCATATGTTTAACTGTGACTGGGGATACTCTACAACCAGTAAAGGAAGTTACGCAAACGGACAAATTAGTGTTTCCGTCTACTAGCCTCCGTTTGCGAGTGTCGATGATCAGATTGTGGTGTTGTAGAAGGTCCATACCAATGATTGGCATAGAAACATCTGCAACAACGAAAATCCAGTGGATGGGTTTGCGTAAACCCACGTTAAGGTAAACGTACCTTTTGCCATACGTAGCGATCGGTTTTCCGTTTGCCGCCTGTAAGTTTAGGGTCGATTCGTGTAGTCGGTCGTTAGGATTTGCTGGGAGAACGCTAACTTCTGCGCCAGTGTCGACGAGGTAACGAACTCTCGTTGTCACATCTGTGACGAATAACAGACGGCTTTGTTCGCCGGCTACGGTTGCCGTTAACGCGTGCCGGCTTGGAAGTTTCCCGAATTGCTTTTCGAATCAGTCGGTTTCGTGTTGGGAAAATTGCAGGGTTTTCTGCAATTTCTGGAAAGCTTTCCATACTGGTTATGATACCAGCACCAGTCGGGGTTATCTGTCTCTCGTGGTCTAGAGACAGATCGCTTACGAGAAATGCTTCTACGTGGTGTGCGCGATCTCTTACGGTCGTTACGAAGACTAAGATAACGCGTGAGTGTGTGACATAAGTCGTTTATATCATTCTGAGTCGCTTGAGGTTTTTCTTTGACTGAAAATACCTCGGTAGTAGATTTCGTAATTTCTAATATGCGGTCGGCAGATGCAGCTAGCTCGTCTAAGGCATTGTTCTGGAACGAGACCAGAACTGCTTGCACCTGTTGGGGAAGTTTTGACAAGAAGAGTTGTTTGAATAGGCCTTCGTCGAAAGTTCTTGGGCCTATTACCTCTCTCATCCGTTGCAACATGTCTGTCGCAGAACCATGTTGCAGGTCGATATTGTTGAAGAGTTGGTCTAACCTTTGTCGATCGGTTAGGTCTCCTCGTTTAAGAATCGAGCGTTTTAAGATTTCGTAAGGATCGGAAACATCACTAGTAAACATACTAGGTGTTACGTACCTGTTGAATTCGCGCGGTAGTGCCTTGACTACTGTGAGGAATTGTGCACGTGTGTCGATCACGCCGTGCTCGGAGAAGTCGGCTTCTGCGTAGCAAAACCAGGCTTCGATGTTGTCGGGCCAGAAAGGCATCAGTTGAAACGAAGGCGGGGACAAAGTCTTAAGCTTGAGTACTTTAGGTGTCTGTTCAGTCATGATGAAGTATGAAGTACGATAATGAACAAGGGGAAAATATATATATCCAGGAAAAAACACGAAAAAAAATCACAATGTTTAAAAAAGTTAAAAAAATAAGGCAATGATATATAAAAATCCCAAAAAGGAACAGACTCACAGTTGCAATTAGGTGTACCAGATCACGTCGGTTTCACCAATGATTGATGTCACAGGTATTCAGTGTTTGACAACGCTTCTACCAGTAACACCTTCTAATATATTTCGTTCCCGCCCAGAGAAATCAAAAGACAGAGTCGAGGAGATCGGAAGAGTATATTTGGCGATGACCAATATATCGGAATTCTCTGATCTAATCTGGCTAGCGATTGCGGTTGATGTTGAGCACGGCGTTACCACACGTGATCTGGTACGGATGCCTGACCGAGCGCCTTCAGCTAGGTGAGTCCACTAAAACATATGGTCAGCATCCAATGTCGAAAACTTAGTGCTATTTATTTTGGGGATTTATTTACCGCTACAAGTCTCATTGAAATTATGAACAAGTTAGTATTAGACCACTATTTAAAACATGGGGACACAGAAGAGTCCCATACTGGGACAAAGAGGTCATCCAATGCCTTAAGGTTTTCTGTGTTGCTCTAACACCGATCGGTTCATGATTTCAATGCCTGAATATGTTCAACGAATTAGTACTGAGTTGGTTACAATTTTTTAACCTCTCCCTCAAGAAGTGACGGAATCTTCAATCTCTTTTTCTCGTCTCCTAGTATGTAACTACCTGCTTCAATGATAACCACACATAAGCTAACCAACTTTTCTTATAACGGAAAAACATTTTATTGGTGAACACTGAACCATCAGGACAAGTAACGAGAAGTCATGTTTACTGTCATGTGCGGGCAATATGGATTCCCTTCCGTGATCTTGGTTCCGAACCCTGATGACCCTAACTAAAAAACTACTGCAGGGGCTTGATGACAGTAGTGATGAAAATGTAAGTAAAGATTTTGGGTACTAATAATGGATTTTGAAGCAAATGAATGTATTTTCGTTGTAGCTTCCTCTTATCCTCTTAAACACCTACTTAAGCTGAGTTCGAACACTAACCTAAGGGGTAACACCCAGAAACTGGAGACACAACATAGCAAAACGGAATGTAGACATAACTTCTACTCCTTACGAGTTCTCAAATGCTGGAACTCGCTGCCGGCCAAGCTGGTCCAAGCGGCTTCCCAGGAGTCCTTCAAGAGTCAACTTGACCTATTCTCAAGGACCAAGGACAGCATCATTCTATGATTTACCAGTTTCTTCTTCCACTTTTATTGTTAACATACCTAGGTTCCTGCCTGGAGGATTCGGTGATCCCCTGCTACTAGACACGGAAGCCTGTTAAGCGAAAGCTATTCCGTCCACAACCATTTGAGGCATGTTGACCTAACGCTCTTGGTTTTTCAACTTAAGGTGTTAACTGCGAACGAGTGGGAATCTGCGTAGTATGCTTTTCTTAAGACCGTTCTGTGTCTTGCGTAAGATTCACTTCATATATATGAACTCTGGTCGTTTATTAGGCTTCCGTGGTTTTTATCAGTGTTTGGATCAAAACCACCCGAGCTCCTAATTTTGGGGAAACTCCCGAAGTCAAACGACCTTCAAGAATGTTTAGGGAAATGGTTGAGAACTTTGGTGAAACCCCCAAAGTCAAATGACTTTGACCAAGGTTAAAGGGGAATTTTGGCGAAATATCAGTTTCAGTTTCAGTTTGGGAAGGACAGGAGGCTCGATGGCCTATGTTAGTCCTGGCAATGGTGGTCTCTCAGTTGATCCAACTTTCTTTTGAAAGAGTCGACGGATGGAGCCTCAACCACGTGCTGAGGTAATGAATTCCACTCGTTGATGATTCGATGGGAAAGTCGATAGTCAGCTGACAAGTAATTTGTTCTCGGCTTATGAACTTTTTTGGAGTGTCCTCGTAAATTCTCTGTTTTTGAAGACAAGAAAAATGAGGGGATGTTAGGTGCAAATTCATCACTAAGCAATTTGTAGACTGTAATCAAGTCGCCTCTAGTTCTGCTATATGACAACGGGAAAAGGTTCAGCTTGGCCAGTCAAGCATCATACGGAAGCTTCGCTATTCCGGGAATCAGCTTAGCCGCCGTTCTCTGAACCTTTTCCAGAAGCTCACTGTCTTTTTTAAAGCAGGGGCTAGCCGCTTGTATGCAGTACTCAAGTTTAGGACGAACGAACACTGTATACAGAGTCAAAAACGTCTTAGCGTCGACATGACTAAAAGCCCTACGTATTGACCATAAGGTTCTAAAACTTTCGGCGGCTATTGCACGGCAGTGTGCAGTAGTCTTTAAGTCTTGACTAACGATAACTCCTAAGTCATTATATGTCTGGACGACAGGTAGCTCAGTGTTATTCATCGTGTATGTATCTGTGCCTTGATGACCGATATGCATCACAACACACTTGGAAGTATTTATCGGCAACTGCCATATTTGAGACCATTCAGATAACTTCTTCAGGTCATTTTGAAGTTCTAAGCTATCACTCTTACATCGTATCGTTCTCCATATCTTGACATCGTCAGCATATAGCAAGACCGATGATGATAGGAGACAAGGAAGGTCATTTACATACAAGAGGAATAGCACTGGCCCCAAAACTGTACCCTGGGGCACTCCACTAAGCACAGTTTCCCAGCTAGACAACTTTGAGTTCACCCTTACTCTTTGTTGACGCCCAACTAAGAAGTCTTTTATCCACATCAATAAATTACCTCCAATCCCGACATTTCTTAACTTATATACCAGCCGGTTGTGCGGAAATTTATCAAAAGCTTTACTGAAATCAATGAAGGAGACGTCTACAGGTAGCTTTTGGTCCTTAAGAGCGCACCAGCTTTCACGAGCCACTAATAAGTTAGTGAGACAAGAATAACCTATTCTGAAGCCATGCTGCTTCTCCGAGAGGATCCGGTTTTTATCGAGATACTTAAACAGCTCCTTCCGAATAATCTTTTCTAATATTTTAACAACCACACTAGTTAGGCTAACGGGGCGGTAGTTCTCAGGTTTATGTTTCGTGCCTGTTTTGAAGACAGGACTTACTATGGCGTTTTTCCAATCTTTCGGTAAGCGACCCTGCGTAACGGATAGGTTAAAGCATGTACTTAAAGGGTTCGCAACGAAGTTAGATAATTCCTTCAGTAGCCTAGGATGTAATTCATCGGGCCCCGTGGATTTACCTATGTCAAGCTTATTTAGCAGACCAAAGACATCGAGTTCTTTAATGGTCACGCTATCCAGTGTATGTATGGGGGGATCTGTATACGCTGACGGGAAGGGCGCTCCTATGGTATATACATTGCTGAATTAGTTCGAGAACACTTGAGGCTTACCAAAGTCGTCCTCCACTAGTGATGAAGCAGTACTGTCTCCCCATAGAGCAGGAATATTTCCTTTTCTCCTTGTACTTTGGTTTATATAGGAATACAAGCGTTTATGACATTCTATGGATTCCTTAACACGTTTTCCTTCGTACAATTTTCTAGACTTACGGAGGGTCGAGGCACAAGTGTTCCGAGCCTTTCGATACTGAGATTTTGACTCATCAGTCCCCAGTAACCTAAATCTATCCCACATTTTCCTTTTCTTACGGAGAAGGATACGGACCTCCCTACTGAACCATGGTGGTGAGTTTTTCAGCCCCTTTGGTATATTGGGGAATTTCCCCAGGTCTGGGGAAATTTTAGGGTTTTAGGGCCATTTTCTCAAAGTTTACTACAGTGGCTTCTTCAAAATGGGTCAAATTTTCCCCAGAATCGGAAGTTCGGGCATCAGCCTTTAACAGCTTGGAATGGACGGCAAGCTCTTACTTCTTCAGTTGTTTAGAATCTAATGGGTGCTAAAACACGTTACATGCTGTCTTACGGAAGTGACAAACGTTTCTTAATCATGGTTGCGCATATGTTACAGTGTGTTTCCTTATGGTAGTCTGCAGCTTCAGTAACTCAGCTAGCTACTAGACGGATGGTACCGATTACCACATTTACTCTCTGAATAGCGGTTTTCATTCGCTCCTACTGTACCTAGTTTAGTTGCTTACTAAAGCTGGTCTCCAGACAAATATCCTAGACGTTTGTCTTCATTTATTTACTTCAAAACTGGCTATCAGTTTGTTTAGTTTTCAGCTACGTCCTAGTGTGGTTCGTAATACAACTTAAGCTCTTAAATGGAATTAGGTAGTTTAGGGGCTAACTCTACAAAACCTGTTGGAAGTTAAGTGTTTTAGCCACGGTATGCTAGGTGAAGATGGGGAGTCGACTAATAAGGTTGCGAATCTTTGGGACATACGTCACGTATGCCCGGTCGCTGTTTACCTCGATGTGAGATGCTGACTGGCATGGTAGATTAATAAAAAACCAAGATGTTTCGTCATTCTTTAAAGTTATTGACCGTTGGTCTGAACTTTTTCGACTGGTGCAAAATACTTGGTTGTGGCTTATCAAGTAATAGTGACCAGTGGTTTCGCACCTTAAGTAAAATAGAACGATTTTATGCCTAGTTGAACGGACGCATTTTTTTCATTGTACTCAGACTGTTGCGGTGTGTTTCGACCACTTGGTTTCTCTTTCACTTTGTCCTTTCTGGTAGTCTGATTTTTGTTTCCCTGTTAAGATACAGTCATCAGCTAAGGGATTACTTATTCTTACCTACTACATGTACTATGATCTAGGCAAATAAATAACGCCACTGACCATCGTACAAAATGCATTCGATAGCATAGCATGCTAACCACTACTTAGTTACATTGTGATGATTATATATTTTAAAATGAACTAGGGTCCAGTTAAATTAAATATTCTTTTGTTTTACCCCTGTGTAATGTGAATAAACCTTAAAAACGGAATAACTACGATATTTTGGACAAATGTTAAAAGTTACGCGAAATGTTCATCTTAATTTATCATTTTCTCTAAGTATTGAAACAATAAAGACTCTTATTTTCTGTTGGCTTGGTTTTATTTATTTTAAGACATAGATATTGGTACAAAGAGGCACCAAATACATATGCGCCACACAAATCTCATTCGATATGTGTGAGGGCTGCGATACTGCCCAGGTGCCCAAACCGAAGCAGGTGGTTTTCTTAGGGGGCCACTCCTCGAGCCTCCGACCTGAAGGTCTGATCCACAAGGCAGTGGGGCATCGTCAGGAGGTGCAGTCCCATGGAAGCCGGTGACCAACAACTGGTTCATACGCCATTTGTTCCCTCAGGATACTGGGGCCCATGTGCACCATTGGTTTGGAATCCGGTTAAAGCGCCGGACATTCGCTTTTCGTCCTCTCATTTTCGTAAACAACACCCCCGCCACGAGAAGGCAGTGAGTAGGACTTCCCTGGCAGAGGCTATATACGCGTGGCCATGTGAGAGCATTTCGAGAGGGAGAGCGGACTCTCCCCACTCTCGGCCCTACCAGGGCATTTGGAGGCTGTTAGCTTGGTATTTTTTATATTAGATTTTGTTCAATGAAATTTCAATTTTGTAAACTGTGAAAGGATTTGTTAAATAATGTTTTCAATTCAATACATACTACTCTAAAATGGCTTCAATTCTGTTTTAGACGTGGTTGGCGGACAATGGGTTGACCACTTCAAACATTTTTCGTGTTCATATCTAACTAATATATTTTCCGATTTTGAATTAAGGGATTTCCCGTTATTCAGGATGAAGATTTTCAAGCTTCAGTTCCGAAACCCCTTCTTGATGTTAGCAATTTAGTTTCAAACGAACTTACGCTGATATCAGTTCGTTATGAGATTATCCAACTGATACTTTAACTCACTAGAATATTGTTAAAAGTGATGTTTCAAAGTCGCTATATTATCATGGAAGTTCGGAGCTATACCAGTTGCTGGATTTATTGGTTAGAAGTTTTGAAAACATCATTAGTAAACACAATGACCTAATTAAACATCTAGTTACAATGGATAAGGAAGAGTCTTACTTACCAATTTCACTTACGTCTCACAAGTTAGTGAAGGAAGTTGCGTAATCTGTTTTCATTTCAGAAAAGCAGTTGAAACGATTATGTCACTGGACTTTTGTTTAGCTAGTCAGTCTTTAGCTACAAGCTCGTTCAATCTCCGAAAAAGACTTATGGAGTTAGTCTTGGATTCGGTAATTGTTTATCAGTATATCATTTAGATTATGGTTTGTAGAAAAACAACATTGAGAAGTTAATAAGTTTCAATCAGAGTTTGTCTTTACTAGCCTGTCAGCTTAATGAAGCTAGTAATTTAAATGATAATATGGATGAACCTTTCACTACATGAAAACATAAGGAAGGGCAGAAATATTGTATATATTAACTGTTTTTAATTCAAATTGTATACCATTAATATATGTATAAGTTATTAGCTTTGTTGCAATATGTTGGTTATTTTATTAACAGTATTTATTGTGCTCTATCTGTTATTGAGAGATTCATCCAGAGACGTAGTCTTAACTAATCTTGACAGCGTTTATCTTTACACGATAATGATAATTACAATTGAATAAAATCTCACTTCAAGGTAATGCACGGTTTAATGGCTATCCACTTATGCAGTCTCCACAGTATTATCTCAGTTAAGTAATCGAGCTAATAGGTAGAGCTTAATCGAAGTTGATCGTATATACTTTTGTTTAACTGAAGTTTACAACAAGCTTGATAAGTTTATCGCTTCAAATAACTATGGTTCTCAATGTTTTAGTACCATAAAAACGGTTCGAGTTTAACGAAACTAGTAAGGAAATTGTATAATGAAGACGGCATTGTTCATCATACTGTTTATACATATATGTCTAAAAGTACTAACAATTAAGTCACTGATGTTTAAACAGAGCAATTCATTATTTATATATTTATTTATTCAAACACATAAACATTGGTACAAGGAGGCACCAGATACATACACATGAGCCACACAAATCTCATTCGATTTGTGTGAGGGTCGGGAAACTGCGCGGTTCCCCGAACCAGAACAGGTGGTTTTCTCAGGGGGCCACCCCGAGCCTTCGACCTAAAGGTCTAATCCACAAGGCAGTGAATCATCGTAAGGAGATGCAGTCCCATGGTAGTCGGTGACCAACGATTGGTTCATACACCATTTTTTCCTTCAGGATACTGGAGCCCATGTGCACCATTGGTTTGGAATCAGGATTTTCCAAATCCTCTAGGTGGACTCTTCGTGTCCACCAATCCGGTCCTCTCAATTTTGTAAACGACATCCTCGCCACGAGAAGGCAGTGAATATGAATTCCCTGCAGTGGTTATATGCACGTGCCCATGTGAGAGCATTTGGAGAGGAAGAGCTGACTTTCCCCTCCCTTGGCCGTACCAGGGCGTTTGGGGGCAGAGAGCAATTCATAAATCACATCTGATGTAATTTACTTTTTCCATTAATGCCTAACCTTTTGTACCAATCTAATGATACCTGTAAGTTGGTGTGCATTCTGGAATCGATTCTAGAATATGTATATTCAGTTCTGCACAGTCGCTTTTATCATCTAAATGATTTTTTAGTTAAAGTGATACATTTATTCTGGAAACCAACTCATTGAATTTCTTCGTATAAACTTATAATAGTGGATTTGAGAAGACAATCCTTAAGAAATATTTTTTTCTCTGGATACTAATAAATGATCGATCGGTCAATGAGTTTTAAGCATTGTAGGAGATAGCACGAATTGGCATTATTCTAAAAATATCACACTAAGACAGAAGATTAGTAAAATGAATAAAAGATTAGAATGATATCAGTAGTAGTAATAATAAACTAATTTAATTTAAACAATTAAGGGATGAAATTAACAGAAATCGCGTTAAAATTCAAAAGAGAATAAGTGAATTAATACATAAACGGCCCTCTGATCAAATTCGAGCAGAACCGGGAAACTGATTATCTCTGTTTTGATTTTTATTGAATTGCTTTTCTTATTAGGAGAGAACGAATTGCACTTACTCCCTGCCATAGATTATTCTCCATTTGTGTTCTATTCGAAAAAATCGTTGTACAATTTGGTTCCACCCTATATATTTATATATTATGGGGTATTTTAAATCCCTAGATAATTAGCCTTAATTTGATAATTTTCGTCAAGTTACTTGAAGGGTAAGATTTTTTCAAGTGGTGGAAGAAAGTCAGACGCAAAATCTGCCTTAAACTGAAAAAAATTGCGATCGTCTATGCTTATTGTTCATTCTCTAGGGACTTATCGAATACCCAAACAACCCATTTGATTTCTAGATTTTTGCTAAGACAGGGCCAGAAATGATATAAAAGTTTATAAATTACAAAATGGATTAGAGATGTTTAAAATATACATCTGAAAACAATTAGTGATAGTGTTCGATAGTTAGAGGCTTTTGTGAGATGAATTTTTGAGTTAGTCTTCAAGTCGTGGGATATTCCTATCGTTGGAAATTTATTATTATAGATATTTCCAACTATGCTACTCATCACTGCAGCCAGAATTACTATACAGCTAACCTATCTTTAGCTTCAAATAATATTTTGTAGTGATTTGTCAATGATACTTATTTACCGTTAGTAACTAACGTCGCGTTATTTAGTCTCAATGTTCATCAAAACCTATCCAATACAAATTCAAATGCTTTTAATGTCGAGTGTCTTATTTTAGTGTCCAGATTAAAATTTCAATTTGTAGAATTAGATCATTAAATAATGTGAAACAATATGATGGTTACTTTAAGACTAGTTTGTTAATCGTTTAACTTCAACATCTCCCATTTCAGTTGAATTATTTATTTTCGGTCAGGTGAGTAGCAAAAACCAACAACTTCCAGTTTCTTTAGTTTACCAAAGAGAATGAACACTGTAGGAGAACCTATCTGTGAAAAACTTATGACTAATGGATGAACTTGTATGTGAATTGTTATAAGAAGCAGTTCACCTAGTCATTTGTTACTTATCTCCCAATTAATTACAGGCGTAAGTAAGTAACACGTAGCATTATCTTTATCAGCTGTACACACTCCGTTAGGCTTTGAAACAAGAAAATGATTGGTAACAAACATCTTCATTAATAGAGGTCTTTGAACAGTATTCTTCATTCGAGGAGACTACAATATACGTCAAGTTATCAAGTCTTTTATTGTAAAATAAATGTATTTGTGGTTAGCACTGAAATCTAGAAAGCGCACTTCGTTCTATTTGGGATTCATTTAGATACACATGCATCCCAGTGTTGTTCACATTAGGACTCAAACCCTGTTTTATCCACCGAACTACTGAGTTCAGATGGCCACCCACTTGCGCAACAAGTATGATATTTTTATTATTAAAAAGGATTTGAATTGTCCTGTTGATAATCTTGACTAAATTCTGATCAGATTTTGTCGACATATGTGCATCCTGTTTAGATACCTTCGATATAGTAATATTTCACACGTCTTTATAGAATAAATGTGCTCAGCTGTACGAAATTTCATTAAAAACTCACATGTGATCTGGTAATTATCACGGTTTGTACCTATAATAGTGTGGTTGTGGATATGCACCTCAGAAGAATCCAAAACTAAGATAAAATTGTTGTTTATTCCCTTCCGATTATTGACGGTACCTTAATTTATATCAGTCTATGGTGAAAACTGTCTAAATTGATGTAATATCCACAATATCATCCACTTGAACATTAAACATTCATTTAATTTTACCCTCATCAATAGACACGATTCTAAGCTTAAAAAACTAGAAATCCTGGGCTGAATTGATGTATAAAAATGAACTTGCTTTTTCATAAAGTAAACTTTATTTTCACAAGACAGATTCTTTCTCAACTAGACAATTTGTACTACGTTGTTCCTGTTCTTGTTGATCTAGGCTCACTGGTATCAAATTTTTACCTACTTTACTTAAAATATTTGTTAAAGATGAATACTGTTCCAAATGACTCGCATTAACGATTGGATTGTGATTGAAATAATTATCCAGATTATTTTCTTCAGAATCAATAAGTTTATCATTTGGGTTGATTACTCGTAAAACTGATTGTGTTTTATTCAATGTTGTTACATTATCAACTGTATCAAAATATACATTTGTATGACATTCTGATATATTATGATAAGGACCGACCGATTCCGATTTAATAAATCGTCTTCGTCGATTTGGTGATGAATCTAACTTTGGTAGGATCACATATTGTATTTCTGTATTGTTTGGTGATATTGTGTGATAATTTTCATGTTCATTATAATTTGAATAATGATCAACAACGGGTATAATAGTTACTTTATGATGTGCATTTTCCGATAATCGGTCGATGTGCTTTCTTTGAGTAGTAATAGTAGTAGTTGTTGTTGTGGTTGTTATTGCTTTTAGATAACCTGTATTCAATTTTGTATGAATATTAACATTGTTATTAAGAGTAGGCTTTGGGATGGAGTGGTTTTTCATTTTTAATCTATGTTTATCATCACTTTTTGGCACTTTTGATTGAGATGATTGACCCGATTTCTTGGCAGGTCTTTTTTTCCCCTTGGGATACTCACATGGATCTAATGTTATTATTTTATTCTGAAAATGATTCCCGTGTAAGCTAAGAAAATAATAATAAAAGTGAAGTGTTAGTACATACGTTTGTGTATAATTTGTTGAAATCAGTTTAGTCTGACTAGTTTTCTAAAATGTTGATCACTACTCTATTCGTTATTTATTTATTTATTTGAACATACAAATATTGGTACAAGGAGGCACCAGATACATACACATGCGCCACACAAGTCTCATTCGATTTGTGTGAGGGTCGGGAAACTGCGCGGTTCCCCGAACCAGAACAGGTGGTTTTCTCAGGGGGCCACCCCGAGCCTTCGACCTAAAGGTCTAATCCACAAGGCAGTGAATCATCGTAAGGAGATGCAGTCCCATGGTAGTCGGTGACCAACGATTGGTTCATACACCATTTTTTCCTTCAGGATACTGGAGCCCATGTGCACCATTGGTTTGGAATCAGGATTTTCCAAATCCTCTAGGTGGACTCTTCGTGTCCACCAATCCGGTCCTCTCAATTTTGTAAACGACATCCTCGCCACGAGAAGGCAGTGAATATGAATTCCCTGTCAGAGGCTATATACGCATGTCCATGTGAGAGCATTTGGGGGCAAAAATATGGAACGCTTCACGATTTACGTGTCATCCTTGCGCAGGGGCCATACTACTCTTCTGTGTATCGTTCCAATTTTAGTATATGTACCGCCGAAGCGAGTACATAAGTCTAAAGGCAAACGTGCTAGCTCTGAGATTCTAAAGTTTGAGATTTTATCTCATAAGGTTGGGGATAACCTTTAATAGGTCTGTTTGGTGAAGATGCTGACAAAATACTGAGTCTTCTGGTGGCACTGAGGAACAATACCAGAATGTTTGGGATGCGTTTCTTCCCCCCTAAATGTGAATTGTGGCTTCAGAACTGGCCTGCGTCAACTCCTGAACTAAGAACAGGGAGTGAAGTAGTCGAGCGCGTCGACGTTTGATCAGTCCTAATGGGTTGGTGTGTGACGAAATCTCTGCATGGATTCGAAAAGCTTGTTTGGCTTTTGCCAACTTCCGTCACCTATGGCGAAGGTGAGATATCAGTCTATCGATTAAGGGACGAGTATACTGCGCAGCAGTTCTACTATTCTACTTTACGGCTGCGAAATGTGGCCATTAAGAGTAGATAATACTCGTAAGTCACCAGTATTTGATCACATATTTTTTAGAAATATTATCAACATCTGCCGGGATCACCAGATAAGTAATAGTAAGGTTAGACACAGGGTATTAGGAAATAATGTTCAATCAGTTAGTGAGGTTGTGAGTCTACATCGACTAAGATGATCGAGCCGCACGTTACTCATGTCCAACCACCGATTACCACGGCGCGCAATGCTGACTAGTGTTGGAGACGGATGGAGGAAAGCTAGGGGCGGCCAAACCAAAACTTGGCATCAGTTCATAAATTCACTAACTTCTGGTCTGAGCCATGTTGGTAGATGGAGACTACTTGGTTGGCTCCGCGCGACAATCGTAACCAATGGTCGGAGACTGAATGACATGGCTCAGAATCGATCACAATGGCGTAGGTGTATACACTTTATTTTCCCTTAAGCTGTGGGATTAAAATTACCTGAAGCCTTTCTTTCTACGAACTCTTTTTTTCTGTATCATATTCTTACATGAAATGTTTTTTTACTACCATTCAATCAAGTGTTTCTATAAATTCGGTTTTTATCTTGTGCCAATGAGGTGTGGAAACTTGGACCGATACATATATGTGCCTGGTGCTACGTTGTAGCTGAGTCGTGATTATACATGATTCATATAATTCAGGATCTTTAAGCCTTACAAAGTAGGTAATGTAAATAAAGATAATGCTTTCCATAATGGGGTCTAGTTTTTGCGATTTATTGGTTCAGGACATTCAGCTTTGGACTAATGAGTAACAGTTTTGAACGTTCCCTCTTTACCCACTTGTTTTATTTTATGTATAATTCTACTTTGATATTCATACAGGAACTAGCATAGTTGCAAGGTCATTGCATGAACCAATGTGTGCTCATTAATCATGTACAAATGATGTCTAGCAGTAAAACTTACAGTTAGAACAAATAGTTTACTTACTTATTGCATTGTTTAATTGATGAATTCTGTTTTTGTAAAGATTTTTGCAATTCATCCAGTTGATTTTGTAATAATTCAACTTGTTTAGCATAGTTTTTTGATTTTATATCACAAATTGGATTATCGCATTTATATTTAGCAAGTTTTACGCTCATAATCTGATTATTTTGTTCAGACAAGTAGCATGTATGATTCGCAGTCTAAATGTAGAAAAATGTATATGAGGTAATCATGGTTAATTGACAAAATGCTAACAGTAATAAAAATAATCGACTAGTATTTAAGAACAATATAATGCGAATTAATTTATCATGAGGAAATTATGTCAATAGACTACTTGTTTTGACTTACACTAGTTGTTCACGTGTTGACTTTAGCCAGTTAACCAACAGAAATCAGGCAATTGCGCACAAGTATTTTAATGTGTACTGTGTATTTACTCTTTCTCAGGGATTGAACCCAAGAGCTTTAAGGGAATGGGTTACTTTTAGAAGGCTGTCCTGGCATCCAGTGGTTCACATTTATGAATACAGTCAGTTCATGTTGTTGATCAATAGTATTTCACCACAGGATTAGAACAACTGGGTAATACTACCTGATATCTCTTAGCTGAATTCACTGCATGATTTAGCAATCTTTGCAGACCCTTTATTCATTGGTTAGCTTTGTGTTAATAAAAAGATTTCCATTGTATATATGTGATTCACCTGCAAATTTCAATAATTTTTCAAATGATAACATACCGTAATATCCCTATGGGTAGTTTTATTCTCCTTTCTGTAGTAAGCTAATTAGATTACATTTTTTAAATTAGTGAAAAATGTTGCTTTGAGGGATAAATTTCAAATGACCTATCCTGTAATCAATCCACAACATCACATTAGAATAACAATCAGTGTTTATCTAATTCCATCTTGGCATCACGTTCGCTGTGCATCAATCATTAAATGTGAATAGGAGTTGAGAATGTTTATAGTTGCGTAACTTCCAAAAATATCACTGATGTTTTAATGCATTTCAAATTCTAGTTATGTTCATACAAGTTTTTCTACCCATCTCTCCTAGCTTTCTTATAATTTGTCAACATTGAGGAGTACCTTTTCCATATAATATACGCAACGTTTTTGTGATTTATCGACTATTATTTATTATTGCCTATTCCTTCTTATGAATTCTTTTAATTTATACCTGTACTTTTGAGCCAAACAGTTCATAACATTTTGTAAGACCCTGAATTTTATCAGTTGAGTTGATGACGGACACTGACTAACTTATAAATAGATATTTGTAATCTAACAAACAATCAGATAACTTTATTCTCATCAGATACAAACATTCACTTTGTTTTTTTCCGACAATAAAATACAAGTGCACTGGAATTTATACACGTAAAATGAAATGCGAGAGCACTTTAATTTCTTGTGTAACGTACATTTTATCTGACGTAAAGATTATAAAGATAGAACGAACTTGAGTCTTCTGCGGATGAAGATGTGATGCCGCTTGTTACTACAGTAAAGATATAGACATACCTAATAAACTTGTGGCTCCACGTAAATATAAACTGTAGAGATTCTCGACTGGAATGTAACCACAACCTGGACTGCATTACTAATCATCAGCCAAAATATAACTTTCCCTTGTGAATAGTTTAATTAAAATCTGAAGAATTTTGATTCAACGTCTTTAAAATTTGTTAAATAACTTATATGTATTGAAAATATTGCGTGACATTTTTAACTATTTCAATCGTATAACATGTGACATTTAAATACTATTATATTCCTAGTTCAAATTTACCAAACTAAGTCTACCGAACCAATTGGCTTGATTGATTTTTTGTAATTTTGGTTTTGCATACCAATAGAATGTGTATTCAATTAACAAGAATACAGTGCAAATAAGCATTCCGCAAACAAGTAGAATGAAAGCACTGATAAAATTCTTAACTCCCAATGTCTTATTTGTATTCCCAACAGCAGCATCTTTTTTACATGAACCTGTTTGCCAAAATTTTTTCCAACGTTGCAATTTTCCTAAACGAAAGAGTAGACATGAAGTAATAATGAATAACACATCCAATTACTGTTAAGTGATTGTAAACTCGTCTCATAAAATCATACATAAAACTGCAGCCATTTAGTATAATATATTTATTGAATTGTTATTCAGGTATATTAGAAGTATATCATTTACTAACTAAAGCTTAATCTCATCGATCTTAAGCAAAACCAACATTACAATGTTTAGTTTTGACTTCCAAAATATGACTTTGTTTTGTTTCTACAATAGATTTTAATGGCCGTTACAAAAGTATTCATCGTCTAGAGTGATGAATTTTTCTATCTTAGACAACTTTACTTTCCTGTGATCTTTTATCATCTGTACATACGGTGACTTTCTAGAAGTTATGATACAAATAACTTGAGTTTTAAAAAAATAAGTACGAGTCAATCCCTAAACCAATGTTATTACCGAATTCACTTGTTGATATGAACCAAGCTTACAGGTTGATCACTAAGTTAAGTGATGTTATATGTTGAAGGTAAGTCGACTGAAGTGCTCTCAACTTAGATTTTATGTACGTAACTAGTTTGTTGGTTTTCAGTCAGAGGTATGTAAAGCATATCTGTGAAGTTAAAAGATGTGAACCTATGGATCACATTACCAAATGTGAAGAACTCAACTAAAAGGAAGCTCATTTTTCATATTTGTACCGTTTTAATGTACAAGATATCCAAAGTGCATCATTATTTTGAGTATGAGCTGCTGAAACTACCTTACAGAATGTAGAAAAGAAAATTTTATACATTGATCTAACTTACCATTTTTTTGATAATCCAAAATGCGTGAATTAACTTTCGTTAACCATCGACTATTTTTAGCAAAACCAATTCCATAACCCGTCATTGCATATAAATTTCCAACTGTACGTAATTTACAACCTTCATCTTTCATCGCCCAATAATCCAATACATTAGCATCATATAAAAAAGCATCCAGTTGTCTAATAAGAGTTAAAATAGTGGTTTTAAAAAAGTTAACAGATTTATATTAAGATCACAAAATGATTAAACAACCATCAAAAACCTGAAGGCATTGAAAGGTCTTTTCATCCGGTATGGAGCTCCTGAACTATGTGTATCCACGACCCCGAAGCCGAGAATCGGATTCGGAACCTACAGTTTCACACGTAACCTCTAGATCACTGAGCTGGGATTCAGTGGTGTACAAGTCTAACTTCAATCAACTGATGGTACTACCTGACCAAATTGCATTGTCTTCGGTGTGTAACTTACATTTAAAATAGTTGAACTCCACTAGTCACTGCTTTTTACTTGAACTTCAGGATTTTCCTATCGAAGCAGGTCACTAGTGAACACATGGTAATTATCAGTATGAGGTATGGCAACTTAAACCTATGTGCATACGTACCAGGTTCTACGTTGTGACTGACTGACTATTAGTATGTGGTTATGGAGACAACTGAATGAGCACTGCTGTAGAGTCCCACACTAGGATCAAACGGCCATTCAGTGCTTCCAGGTTTTCAACATTTGCCTAACAAAAATCGGTTTATGATCTGGTTAAAATTCAACAATCTTCACAACGGATTGTTTGTTTTCTGTTATATAAGTTAAAGAAAAGCAACTGAGAGTATGGGCTAGCCGCCTCTTTTTGTTTTTGAAAAATAACTTTTATTGGCTACCAATCCTACTAGTCATACCATAGTAGGCGTTTAGGAAATTTCCAATTCCCGGTTTGCACTTAGGTTCTTAGACTTGAATCCTCGATCTATTTTATGCTTTGATTGGTGCTTACTTAAAAATAATTTCAGTTACTGGGACGTTAACAGTTGGAATAATCTAGATTACATATATATATATATATATATATATATATATATATATATATTACTGTCCTAACGTATAACAAAATCTTAACAAGTTGCGGATAGTCCAGTACAATATGATGAATAAATGCCATTTGATAATGATAATTATAAATCCTCAATATTTTAAATGAAATTTATTAATTCCAGTCATTTCTATCAAAGAGTAAAATTCTGACACAAATATGGTTGCCTATTACCAGTCAATATATATCAAGACAGTCTCAATTTTGATCTGATTATGAGTTTTATTTTGTACCATTCGAACATTTAATCATAACTGTAAAAATTTTATTTTTAGCTGATACATTTTTTTAATAGTCCTGTAAGCATTCATTTTTTGCTTCAGAATAAAAATAGGATGTTCTACATAAATTAGTTGTGGTGCTAAAAAATTTCGTCTGAAAATTGATGTTATCTATCATTATGCCTTTATCTGTTTTTAATAATAATAATAATAATAATAATAATAATAATAATAATAATATAATAATAATAATAATAATAATAATTCATGTATGTACTACTGTATGAAGAGTGGTTATTTAACCAAAATCTTGTCAATTATTCGTCAATAAATAATTATCAGTTGTACATATATGGATATGCTTGTATGTGCATGTATGTTTGCATAGACTGACATACTGGAAGAATCCCTTGACCGTTTTATACTATTTATAAACTTACTTATAAAGCATGTTTGCATATGGGTTAGGTTTGAAATAGATCATTCTCGTAAATACAAGTAGATTATGCTTCAGTATTGTGTGGACGGATTATAAAAGTTTTTTTTCAAACGATTTCGAAATCGCTTCAATATAAGGTTATCGGTGGTAATTTTAAGTCAGAGATGGTTAGTATGGTGTGTCATCAGAAACGCTAAAATCTACTAGGTAAGGGAGTATATCGCAGTATATTAGTTACGTTTGTTAGTTATAACACCCTAATTTTATGGCACTAAATTCCGTTTGTATTAAATTACTGATTAACAATTGGTACTCAATTCAATTAATTCAAATTTGATCATTATTTAGTGTAAATAAAAGTCACTGTGTTCAGATCTAATTTTGGATGTTTTTGGCGTATATTAAATTTTCACCTGTCGTCTTTTTCTTCTCCCTTGAGTCTAGTCACGTCAATTTTATTTTCCGTTATAACAGATACGGGCTAGAAGTTATCTAATATAATTTCAATGGTTGAGATCATGAGTCAATTGAAGCTAGATCACCATGGAAAACCTGGAAGCACTGGACGGCCATTTCGTCCAGCTGTGGGACTCCTCAGCAGTGTGCATCCACGACCCAGACCCGCGGGATTCGAACCAAGGACCTGTCAGTCTCGCGCGCGAGCGCTTAACCACAATACCATTAAGCCGACCGGCATCCAATGGTGTTAGTGTATAACTTCAACTAATCCACGAAATTGAGCGATACATCCACCATTCTCTTCAGTGAGTTACTATCTCACAATTGACCAGGCCTAGCTTCAATTGACTAATGATCTCAACTATTAAAATTACTACACTCTCTACAAAACCCCTTCTGATATTTATCCAATATACTTTAACAGAATAATTTAATTATTCTGGACTTTACTGTTAACCGTCATGTAAAAAAGTACTAGCATATGTCTAAACTAATTACGAACCATGTCTCAGAAAACTGAAACCAATCCTGAAGTGAGCATCAACTCTGAGATGCAGGCACATCCAGCTGACGAGTCCCATGTAAGACGAAACGCGCGTCCTAGATTCCACTGTTAGCCACTATCCGTCTCATCTTACACTCCTTGATTGTTTACATTTCAAAACAATACATACATGGTCTTCATGATGGCATGAAATCAGGTGAGAACTACGTAGTATTACACGGTTGTTTCATCTTCACTAGATTTATGCACTAGAAACCTTTCACTGAATAAAACCCAGGACCGTCGATTCTTTCTACAAACGTGTTACTTTTAAACCACTGAGTCTAGTGATCCATAGTTTCAAAAGTAGTCATTCTGAGGTACAGCGCGACTGACGCTATGAGCTTAATCTTTCGTTAAGTTATAGAAGCGTACACCTGGGGATTCCTAATCTCAGATAAAAGAGCTGTCAGGTGCTCCTTGGTTCACAATATCTTTCCAGTTGATGTCAGTTTATAATAAAAGTTTTATCATAAACCTTACGATTAGAGAAGGACTATCGTATGACAGATCACAATCTTGATAATTATCTGAAACATGTTTGTTACTTATTAATAGTTTTATGAACTGTACATACCCTGATTTCATTGCCTTGAGACCGTCTTCAACATCGGATTTATTGTATTTTCTCATGTATTTGTGCATTTCAGGAAAATTGATTTTAATGTTCTCTTCTGTAGCACCACTTGGTATAGTGGCAAATCTAAATGGGGGTTTCACATTCCATGGATGCTGCAACTAAGCGTATAAAGAAGACTTTGTTTCTAAGTTATTAGAATGAATAAAAACAAGATAAAATTTCGATGACTGCATAAAAATGCCTTAAATATTCTAGAAATTATTTTCCCTCTTTATTTAATTGCCTATTTCTATTTTGGCGGTCTTGAGTTCTCTGAGCTAGGTGTTTTCTTTTCGGAACCTCCTTTGTCATTCTAAACAACTTGTTCAGCGTCTGCTTGTTGAGGACGTTTACTTTTTTTCTTTTGGTTCACTAGTGAACAAAGAATTAAATTTGTGGTAAGACCAGTGTTTATGCCATTATAGTGATTGTTGTAGATATTCAGACAAAAGAGTAAAGATATTTCTGCGAACTTCATAGGATATATATGTTCTAAATGTTTAATGACACAGTTTCATTCAGTTTTTTGTAGTTCAAATTACAGCTTACCAAATATTAAGTTAATATATTAAATATTTTTTCTACTTGAAATCTATAATGGAATAGAAGTGTCACGCATTTACTATCGTATGAATTTCTCGAAATATCACGACAGTTTTAAGTAGTTTTTCATCGTGTCTGTTACGTTTTCAATATTTTACTACAGATAACTCATATTCAAAATGCTAGAATGAACCCATTTATGCTAATATGTTGCGATCTTTCACGTGTTTTCTTTACAAATATTGTCAGAAAGTTGACATGCAACAGTTATATCAAATTATTTGGCTTATTGGATAGAAAGTAAAAAAGAGTAAGCAAACAGCACAATCAGTTGACAAGTTAGTGAAAAGTTTTTTAGAACTGTTAGTCCTTTGTTGATTTGTACCTTCTCATAAATCAACACTGAACTCAGGTAACAAATGAAACTTCCACTTTTGTCAATGTCAAAATCTAGGATATTCAAATTTTTCACTAAACATACCATCATTCGTCACTATGAAATACAAAAACCTCTAAGGTACTTGATAACAGATTTTTTCTGTTAGTTGGTCACTATCATGCTAAATGTTGATCTACATTTAAAAGGTATAAAGAGTTGTTTGTGTTCAAAGCCAAAGGGATATAAACCAGGCGTATTTCATCATGCAGTCATTTTACATCAATTTCGCGACAGCATAAGGGTTTTAGGGGATTTCAAAAGCTCTGGCAAGTGAATAAGAAATGGTATCGATAGCTACACTTGATCAGACAAAAAGTAGGTCGTCGTCTCATCACAGTCAACCTCCCTTACTCCCCAGGACTGGTTCCATCGGTTCCATCTTTATTAATTCATTTAACACACGCATGCACACAATTGCTTATTCACTGACACTTTTACTAAATATAATATCGTCATAGTTGTTCCTTTGACAGCTTATTCGTTCCACATAAATGTGTATCTTTCCGTCGTAAATATTCAGGAGTGAATTCCGATCAATCTATAGTGGCTTATGTCCACCATGTGCGAATGTCTCGACATTATCTGTAGTTACAAAATTCTTGTTATAAAATACACAACCGTTTATAAGTGATTAACATCATAACCCTTAAACCAATTACAGGTTATCTACAGCCAGTAGTTTATTGTATTACTCGTTGGCTTTTGTAACATTTAGCAATGGATTTGAGTCTCGGTGTGAATCTGAACATTGGTCACAATTCAGTGATCAGCTGATATATTAATCAACATCGTTTCGCAACTTTCTTTGTGAAAATCATTTTTTAACTGCTTCGGAGAAAATAACTACAATTCACTTTTTGTGTTTATCATAAATTAGTTTAACAATAGATCTTTGGATTATAGCTCACTAACTGAGTATATAAACCTCAACGCCACGCTTATCTAGTCCCAGGAGTAATATATCAGACTGTGAAGTTGGGCAACGTCGTTTTGAATCCCACAGAAACCATTAGTTCTCTCATGATTGAAGGCACACTTTGCTGACGAGTGCTAACAAGCACGAAACTTAGGTCCAGGGTTTCCTACTGTCTACCTTGAACCACTTAATGTAATAATAAACATGATAGTAAGTTTGATTTGTAATCCGGAGTTTCACTTTACATCAAAAAGATCTCTGTTATACGTTTTTAAGTGAGAAAATTGGTTTATTTCAATAAATACTGGTTTGTAAAACATGATTGTTGTACATTTTATCGTAGGGTGTGTTACATTCAAGAATTATCTATGTACATATGTCACCAAGACAAATCACAAGTCGCTTCAAGTTGATATTTTTATTGTCATGATCTGATATTCATATCATTATGGTTTGCTTAGTGTATATCTGTAAATGCGTTTTTTTGTTACTTCTAAACTTTTAATTAAATTTGAGATGGAATGCTGTAAAAATGATTACAAAGTTATTTTGTTTTAATATACGAGAGGTGTGTTGCTTTGTGATAAAGTGTTTAAATAAATCTGTGTTAGCGGTTTATTAAATGAACCTTAAAATAAGGTATGTGGTTAATACTAATAAGATGGAGTAAGCCGACAGGGAACTATAAACCTAGGTTCTGTAATCAATGACACTTCAAGAATCTTCAAAGCACGTCAACTGCAAAAAGTGGAATCAACGTTACTGAGTACTAAAGTTCTAGACGTTGCCTCTGAGCATTTAGGGTTGCTATTAATCTTCTGTAAACTTGAAAGATTGATAATAATCAATCACTAATTAGTCTGTTCGATAAAATCTGATCGAAATCACGCACGAGATAACACAATGGCTTTTACAAGGTAATTGATTAGAATCAATAATCAAATATTAAAATATGTGGCTCCATTTTTCTAGAAAAAGTACAAATCCTCTTTGGAACATCAATACTAAGTTAATATGAGTAAATCCAGATTGTTACCAAATTATGAAGCTCAGCAAGCGTCTAATCCTCACAAAATATATTAAAAATGTGTAAAAAGCTAAACGTTCCGAGCAAAAATGTTTTCTTGTATTTCGATTTACCTTACAATTCCATACTATATGGAAAAGAAAATGTTTCAACTGAATAATACGTACAATAATATCCTTGGTAATTATTGCAGATGCTAAGGCGAAAGCATAACTGTAAACAAATCGAGTCTCACTGGCCAACCAGATATCATCTACTAATCATTCCTTAACTCAGACAAAAAATCCATTAAGTAGTAAATTAATTTCTCAGTTAACTTACACGCCAATCATTTATACCACTCAAGTCAAAGTAATCCTCTTTAGCAATCATAAAAGCCGCTAAGTTAGCCGTATACGATGCTAAAAATACAAGAGCGAATAATGCCCATATATTAGCCATAAACCGGCTAGCCATTCCTCTTGGATTATCCGCATTTACAGCAGCGCCGAATAACATTGACCAGATAAGCCAAAGTGAACGGAAAAATGAAAATCGGTGATCTTTTAAAAGAAAGAACAGCAAAACAGTCATGCACGACTTAAAACAAATAAATTGGCTGCTAAAGCAGTGTTGGAAATATTTGATTTATAAATTAACTTCTTTAACCTATATATGACAGCCGTACTTAGATTTTATGGATCATGGAATTACCTTAAAGGACCCTTATTCTGCAGTTACATGTTTTAAATGATTTTCTTTGGATTTCATCCATTTTTCGCGTGTAATATGTGTTATTTTAACTGGAAAAATAATCAGTTTTGGTGACTAAATATTCCGCCTTATTCAGTCAGTCAGTCAGCTACAACGTAGGACCAGGCACATATGTGCATCGGTCCAGGTTGCCATACCGCATCAGCACAACAAGATGAACACCGGATTCATAGCAGTGGTTAGGTCAAAGGTAGTAATATGTAAGCGAAAGATTACATATAGAGATATAGTACAAGAAGAAAGAATTGGTTCGTAGAAAGAAAGATATGAAGTGATTTTAATCTCTTAGTTTAAGGGAAGACAGGGAGTGTATACACCGACGCCATTGTGATCGATTCTGAGCCATGTCACCAAGAGTCTCCAACCATTGGTTACGAAAGTCACGCGGACCCCAACCAAGTAGTCTGCATCTACCAACATGGCTCAGACTAGAAGTTAGTGACTTCAGGCACTGATGCCACGTTTTGGTTTGGCCGCCCCTAACTTTCTTCCAACCATCCCCTACACCGGTTAGCATTGCACGTCGTGGTAATCGGTGTTCAGGCATACGTAATACGTGGCCCAACCATCTCAGTCGATGAAGATTCATAACCTCATCAACTGATTTACCATCATTCCCTAATACCCTGCGTCTAACCTCACTATTACTTACCCGGTGATCCCAGCAGATGCCAGCAATATTTCTAGGACATCTGTGGTCAAATACTAGTAGCTCACGGGTGTCTTCCACTCTTAAAGGCCATGTTTCGCTGCCGTAAAGTAAGACAGAACGGACTGTCGCGCAGTATACTCGTCCTTTTATTGATAGACGGATATCTCGCCTCCGCCAAAGGTGACGTAAGTTGGCAAAAGCCAAACGAGCTTTTCGAATCCGTGCTGAGATTTCGTCAGACACCAACCCATTAGGGCTGATCAGACTTCCAAGATAAGTGAAGTTGTCGACGCGTTCGACTACTTCACTCCCTATCCTTAGTTCAGGTGTTGACGCAGACCAGTCCTGAAGCAACAACTTGCATTTAGAGGGAGAGAAGCGCATCCCAAACATTCTGGCATTGTTGCTTAGTGCTACCAGAAGACTCTGCATTTGTCAGCGTCTTCACCAAACAGGACTATGTCATCTGCGTATTCTAAGTCGATAAGTGGACCTCCTGGAAGGAGATCAATACCCGAGAATTCAATCGACGAGAGTGTTATTTCCATCAATAGATCTATGATGAAGTTAAACAAAAATGGAGAGAGTGGACAGCCTTGACGGACACCACTTGAAGTTGCAAAAGTAGATGACAGTTCGCCATAAGCCCTGACTCGACTAGTAGTGTTCGAGTAAAGAGCCTTCACAAGGTTTATGTACTTCTGTGGTACGCCTTTCAATGACAGACACTGCCACAGAGTCTCGCGGTCTACCGAGTCAAATGCTGCTTTTAAGTCGAGAAAGACCACCATTGTCGGACGCCGATAGGTATGCCTGTGTTCTAGGACCTGACGAATGGTGAATATGTGGTCGATGCAGCCACGACCAGGTCTGAAGCCAGCTTGAGTCTCTCGTGTTTGCAGTTCACGAGTCTTAGTTAGGCGTCTGATAATTATCGAAGCTAGTATTTTAGATATTATATTAGTTAAACTAATCCCTCTGTGGTTGTCACAGGATGATTTTGACCCTTTCTTATATATTGGGACGATAAGTGATTGTGACCAGTCAGATGGGATAAAGTCTAATTCCCAGATCTTAGCTAAAATATTAGTCAACCTAATCACTAAAATTGGACCACCATCCTTAAAGACCTCTGGAGCCAATCCATCTGGACCAGCTGCCCTTCCTCGTTTCAGATTAACTATAGCCTTTTGAAATTCAGCAAGAGTTGGGGGACCTACTTCAATGTTCCATTCACACTGTCTGGGAATGGAGGGTAGTTGTAGAGTAGCTGAAGGCCAGCTGAACTGTTCTCTGAAATGTTCCGCCCATCGTTCTAAACGCCTGGACTGGGAGCAGATGAGTGTATCGTCTTTTTCCGATATAATCTCACTTACACTTGACTTATTAATTCCAGTTTCTTTTATTAGTCTGTAAAGCTGTCTTGTGTTCCCTATAGTCGCCGCCTTTTCCATCTCTTTTGCTTTCGTTGCCCACCACTGCTCACGGTCGTTTCTTAGACTTTTTCTTAACCTAGATCTGATTTGTTGTCGCTCTTCATCATGTTCAGAACCTGATGGGACGAGTTTGCGAGAATCCATCAGTGTGATAGACTTTGAAGAAATCCATTGGTTCTTTGTAACCCTGTGGTCTAAATCACTGATAGATGTCACTGCTGTTTCCACAGCTGTTTGTATGGCTTTCCAAGCAACAACTGGGTCAACCTCGTTTTCAGAACTACCTAATCGTGACCTCAGTTGTTCCTGGAACCTACTTTTGGTTTCCTCGCTACTCAGTTCGGTTCTAATGGGTCTTTTTACTGTGGCTTTTTTGCGTCCAGTGAGGCGCAAGCAGATGCGTGCCCGTATTAGGGCGTGGTCGGAGTCCAAGCAGGTACTCCAGAATGAGCGACAATCTTCTACCGACCCTCTCCAACGATGACTGATGGCAATATGGTCTATTTGAGTCCATCGTTGGTTTGGTGCAGGCGGTCGCCACGTTAGACGATGTCTCTCCTTATGCCTAAAATTTGTGTTTGCTAAAAATAAGCGATTGTCTGAGCACAGTTGCAGCAGACGGTCACCATTATCTGTTCGCTGTGCCGAAATGCTAAAATATCCACCTAAATGCCTTTCTGTTTGGTTTAAGCTACCTATCTGATCATTAAAGTCACCCCCTACGAGTACTATGTCTGAGCGTTTAGCTTTCTGAAGAAGTTCGGACAGCTTTCTGTAAAATTCATCTTTCACATCATCTGAGCTGCAGTCAGTGGGAGCGTAGGCAGAAACGACGAAAAGGCAACGACGTGTGTCCCTATCCTTCCGAGTTCTTACGGAGCCGTTTAGCCGGACAGCACATAGACGACTGTTGACGGGGATCCATTCTAGCAGTGCTTGTTCCGCCCTCATGCTTAGTGCTATGCCTACACCTGCCAGTCCACGAGAACTGGCCATCGGGTCACCAGATACACGTAGGGTGTATCTCGTTGGCTCTCCGTTTTGCCAAGGTGAGGTCAAGTGAATGACCACACTGGAATCCTGTATGCGTGTTTCGGAGACACAGCATACATCAATGGTAAGAGACTCTAGGGTTTTAGCCAAGGAAGCCTGCTAACCGATTTGACATAGAGTGCGTACGTTGAAAGCTCCAATGTGTTGTTTGGAGCGAGGTTTCAGTAGACCTGGGACAGAGTTTTGAGCACTAGAATCATTGGCTATGGTGACACTTGAGGAGGAAGCCGAAGGAGGAAGTTTAGGGTTGAAAGTCGATGTAGGAGGAATAATAGGAATTGAAGAGGAAGGTTGATTATGAATACAGTGGTCTTGGGTGCTGTTAGAGGTATGAGGGCGGTTATCACTTCCCGGTTGCCCACACCGTGGAAGGGTTCTTCTGGAGGTACCTGAAAAGGAAATTGGATTAGAGGCGGTCTCAGTGACCTGAGAGCGTGACCGCAGTGCCCAAGGGACAACTGCTTGAGGCCGGTCGCGCACGGTTTTTTCGTGGGAGGTTTTTGACGTGTTAGCTCCGTTCTTCAAAGGGCCTTACCGCCGGAGACGGAAATCCGTGGGATAAGGCAACGTGTGTGTTTTTATGGTCGACCTTTTCTAACCCCACCTCTCCTTGTGGGAAGGCAGCATCGCTGTCATGCTGGTTGTCTGAAGGAAACACCTTACTGCTGTCACACCTCTGTACAGTCAGCAGTACGACTTCGCCTTCGGACCTTGGGTTTGTTGCTTTTAGTCTTACCGCTCTTCAACCGACCTGTCTGATATGGTAGGACCTTGAGGAACGGTTGTTCCAGCCAGTATAGCTCGGTCGCTTCATCACGATAGGCAAGCTTGACCACCACGTCAAGGTAGCAACAACGGTCGGGTTCCGCCTTATTACTTCCCACTCATTTAGTACCCTACTTTATTAACTCAGATTTCAAGAAAAATCTTCACTCTCCTAAAACTCACATTAGCGACCGTTGATCAATATTGACCGGATTATGGGTGTTTGTCATTAAACCACAGTTTTTTAACCCAAGGGGCTTAAACTAAATTTAGTAGAGCTGAGTTCTAACCTATAACCTAATACTTAAACGTATAATGCTTTGGTCATTAGGTCATAGTTTGATGCATTGGCTGTTATTGTTATCTACAATTAAATCCTAAAAATAAAAGCATTACTGAAAAACTGTACTAATAGGTGAACAAGATCATGGTGATATCTTTCAAAAAAGTAATAAATATTAATCAAAATTATTTGACTGTGACTGAGCAAAACTATCTCAATACAATGATAAATTGGTTTATGTTGTAATTTTCCAAACACTTAGTTTTTACATCTCAAAAGACGAATAAACTCACTTTGATCTGTTGTATGTCCACGATTCATTCCATTGGGACTAAACCATTCATAAATGTACAATGCTGCACCTGTTGCATGTACACTGAATACGAGGATTACACACCAGCATTGATAATCGTACGGCTCTATTAAATGAGAAAAATAGTAATGTGAGAGTGCTACTTAAATCAAAGGGGGATTATGAAGATTTTTCAGTTATTACCTAATTTTTACAGCAGTTTGATAAGTGGACATTAAGTACTTGTTTTTTTCTAGTTTGGACTCTCTCAGCAGCGCACACTTTGACCTTCGTACCAGAAACTCAAAACCCTCAACTATCTTCTATTCCTGTCGGTGATATTTGTAACGTTGTCCAATCCTACTTAGTTCCCGATAATTATTTCCTGGATAATCAGTCTTTGATAAAAGTAACCCAAATCACTTTATGGGAATAGAAAGTCAATTCACTTTCTAGTTAATATTCAGTGTTTAGATTAAGGTGGAGCAATGTGACAATAACATATACTACACTGATGATAATCAAATACACTCTACTTAGCCTTAATAAATATACCACATTATCTAGTTTATCTTACATGTCACAAATTATTTTCATAGTCATTGCTTTAAATTTGTTTCGATTAGACGGGTTGAACACATGTTCACTTACGCTATTCTGCCATCTCACACTTTCTTGTATTTTTCAGATGGAACATTATTCGCTATTTGTAGATCACACTAACAGACAAACCATATTTTCGAAATTGCTTAGTAAATTTATCTCTGGCTAGCTTTTAATAACTATCTAAATATAAATTCGGGATCTGTCAAAAAGAAACCAGTAGAATCACAGAAAAAAGATTAGTTGACGCATTTTATTTGATATGTAGCAAAACATTATAGGCTTCCCAAGACATTTTTGGATTTGTAACATCATAATACTTTTAAACTGTTTAACGCAGAATATGGATATCAAATGATGTCTTTAGCATTGAAAAGTCAAATGTAACTATAAACATTATACAACTGTCTAGGTTATGTAAAAATCAGTCAAAAATTGGATTGCACATTCAGAAAGTACTAGTACACTACTAATTTGGCTATAGTAGTTGGTTTTTGTTTGAAACAATTCAAATTTGTAATTGTTTTTAACATGGTTACATATAAACTTCAGATATGGATTGTATACGCGGAAGCATACTACACTACCTTGACCTCATAAGTTTGGATATGTTTTCAGGTTTATAAATATCAGTTTTCGCATGTTCATGTTGAGTATGGTTAAAAGCGAGTGAAAAGGTCAAAGAACTGTGGAGTTAAGAATAATTATTACTTCCAGGTACATGAGAGCAATCTCTCTTAGATCTTTCTCTAAGATCTTTCAGTTTAATTTTTTACAATATCATCCATAATAATAGTCTGAAAAAATAAGTAAAGCTTTCCTTTACGCCAAAAGCTAGTAAATACCATCACAAGAATTTTAAAACAGTCAGTCAGTCAGTCAGCTACAACGTAGGACCAGGCACATATGTGCATCGGTCCAGGTCGCCATACCTCATAAGCACAGCAAGATGAACACCGGATTCATAGGAGTGGTTAGGTTAAAGGTTGCAATAAGGATATAGTATAGGAAGAAAGAATTAGTTCGTAGAAAGAAAGATATGAAGTGATTTTAATCTCTTAGTTTAAGGGAAGACAGGGAGTGTATACACCGACGCCATTGTGATCGATTCTGAGCCATGTCACCAAGAGTCTCCAACCATTGGTTACGAAAGTCACGCGGACCCCAACCAAGTAGTCTGCATCTACCAACATGGCTCAGACTAGAAGTTAGTGACTTCAGGCACTGATGCCACGTTTTGGTTTGGCCGCCCCTAACTTTCTTCCAACCATCCCCTACACCGGTTAGCATTGCACGTCGTGGTAATCGGTGTTCAGGCATACGTAATACGTGGCCCAACCATCTCAGTCGATGAAGATTCATAACCTCATCAACTGATTTACCATCATTCCCTAATACCCTGCGTCTAACCTCACTATTACTTACCCGGTGATCCCAGCAGATGCCAGCAATATTTCTAGGACATCTGTGGTCAAATACTAGTAGCTCACGGGTGTCTTCCACTCTTAAAGGCCATGTTTCGCTGCCGTAAAGTAAGACAGAACGGACTGTCGCGCAGTATACTCGTCCTTTTATTGATAGACGGATATCTCGCCTCCGCCAAAGGTGACGTAAGTTGGCAAAAGCCAAACGAGCTTTTCGAATCCGTGCTGAGATTTCGTCAGACACCAACCCATTAGGGCTGATCAGACTTCCAAGATAAGTGAAGTTGTCGACGCGTTCGACTACTTCACTCCCTATCCTTAGTTCAGGTGTTGACGCAGACCAGTCCTGAAGCAACAACTTGCATTTAGAGGGAGAGAAGCGCATTCCAAACATTCTGGCATTGTTGCTTAGTGCTACCAGAAGACTCTGCATTTTGTCAGCGTCTTCACCAAACAGGACTATGTCATCTGCGTATTCTAAGTCGATAAGTGGACCTCCTGGAAGGAGATCAATACCCGAGAATTCAATCGACGAGAGTGTTATTTCCATCAATAGATCTATGATGAAGTTAAACAAAAATGGAGAGAGTGGACAGCCTTGACGGACACCACTTGAAGTTGCAAAAGTAGATGACAGTTCGCCATAAGCCCTGACTCGACTAGTAGTGTTCGAGTAAAGAGCCTTCACAAGGTTTATGTACTTCTGTGGTACGCCTTTCAATGACAGACACTGCCACAGAGTCTCGCGGTCTACCGAGTCAAATGCTGCTTTTAAGTCGAGAAAGACCACCATTGTCGGACGCCGATAGGTATGCCTGTGTTCTAGGACCTGACGAATGGTGAATATGTGGTCGATGCAGCCACGACCAGGTCTGAAGCCAGCTTGAGTCTCTCGTGTTTGCAGTTCACGAGTCTTAGTTAGGCGTCTGATAATTATCGAAGCTAGTATTTTAGATATTATATTAGTTAAACTAATCCCTCTGTGGTTGTCACAGGATGATTTTGACCCTTTCTTATATATTGGGACGATAAGTGATTGTGACCAGTCAGATGGGATAAAGTCTAATTCCCAGATCTTAGCTAAAATATTAGTCAACCTAATCACTAAAATTGGACCACCATCCTTAAAGACCTCTGGAGCCAATCCATCTGGACCAGCTGCCCTTCCTCGTTTCAGATTAACTATAGCCTTTTGAAATTCAGCAAGAGTTGGGGGACCTACTTCAATGTTCCATTCACACTGTCTGGGAATGGAGATTTTAAAACAATTAGTCGTTTTGATAAAGTCATATAATGTCATAAGAAGACAGATTTTCAGAACTCATGTGATATATCAGCTGGATGCATCCAGAACAATCTGATCGTATGTGTATTTATTAATAATATTTATATATGAAAAACAAGAGGTTATCTAGACAAGTGGAATGTAAGAGGAAACCAAGATACGATAGAGAATAATGTGGAAAACAATGTAACACTGATTATACTGGATAGTAAATTTATAACTAGGGTAGGTTTAAGGTGAAAGCAAATCGTTTCTGAGTACATAAAAGAAGTTATAATTTTTGAATAGCCAAGGCTTCAGTAAACCTTGGTATACTCGTTTGAACTTTTGTACACATTGCCCCCAAATGCCCTGGTACGGCCGAGAGTGGGGAGAGTCCGCTCTCCCTCTCGAAATGCTCTCACATGGCCACGCGTATATAGCCTCTGCCAGGGAAGTCCTACTAACTGCCTTCTCGTGGCGGGGGTGTTGTTTACGAAATTGAGAGGACGAAAAGCGAATGTCCGGCGCTTTAACCGGATTCCAAAACAATGGTGCACATGGGCCCCAGTATCCTGAGGGAACAAATGGCGTATGAACCAATTGTTGGTCACCGGCATCCATGGGACTGCATCTCCTTACGATGCCCCACTGCCTTGTGGATCAGACCTTCAGGTCGGAGGCTCGAGGAGTGGCCCCCTAAGAAAACCACCTGCTTCGGTTTGGGCACCTGGGCAGTATCGCAGCCCTCACACATATCGAATGAGATTTGTGTGGCGCATATGTATTTGGTGCCTCTTTGTACCAATATCTATGTGTTGAAATAAATAAACTTTTGTACACAACCAGCAAGGCCAATTTAGAATCAATCTTATAACCTGTTTTAACTGTTCTACAGCGAAGGAAGGTGACTCTTTATCGTATGCTTTCATTGAGTCTTTTGATTGTATTTTTTCCGTATCTATTTTGGTACGCGTTTAGAGATCTGTTTGAAATACAATGATTCATAACTCAGAGGCTGTGACTTGTGTTCTTGACTCAACTAGCTAGGACAGACAGGGAAGTGGGACCAATCAGGGCACTAGGTCGTCCTTACGTGTTTTCCGTGTCACTGTCACCAAATCGATCAATAAGACGCTGCTTATCAAAACCTGCAGTCTCACACGTTACAACAAGATCCTAACTTGCAGATCACGATATATATAGCTATGTGACCGCACACATGTAAATTATTAAATAATGAGATGTAATACAATCGATTACGTGCTGTTTAAGTTTTTGGTGAAGCATAAGCAGTGTTTTTTCAATGATAATAACCTTTACTGCATAGTACTTCGTACTAACAACTAATCTGAACCTTTGTTTTGACACACAGTTTAACTCATTTTTAAATAGTAAGGTGATATGACCAGGCTTTTTAAATGCCATAGGTGTAGCAGGTCTCGTGATACTGTGACCTTACCATCCATTTATTACCTTTAGGGAATACCCATTCTCCATCGTTTTTTCAGTTATCATTTCATCTTCAAAAGTATCTTTTGTACGAATACGGTCAATCCTATTAAATAGACTCTTCATCGAGCCCACATTTTATTGAACTGGCCAGTAACTATGATAACTAAGACATTGGCTCGTCCAAATTGGCATTCTGTAGACGGATCATCTGATTGAACCATTTCTTCTACTTATAAGTATATCCAGGATATAGACCCGGTTAGTCCTCTTCTTTTGAGAAAGACATGTGGTTTTGTAGTGTTAGATTGGTTCAGTTAGCATTTCACATTTGTTTTATCACAAGTAAGATTTTATCCACATATCTCTCATAAAGGCACGTGTTTTCGGTTAGCACTTCAGTTAGATTCTCAATATATCATAAACACTTCAGGTAATAATGGTCCTAACAGACTATCCTTAGTAATCACATAAATCTGGAGAAAGTATTCACCTTCAAATGTGCATATTAGTAGTAAATCTCTGAGATTAATTGTTGAAGTGCTGTCAAGAAGCCTTTATCTTTGTAGTTCAACCAGTTTGAGACTAATAAATATTCACTATGATTGAAGTTGATCATCGAACCGTATCACGAGTGAACTGGAGCTCCAAATATGGGTCTCTGGGTCACGATTAAGTGGTCTAAAAGAATCGTATTTACCATGGGACCTAAATATCCTACAATAAATGCCGTGCAAGGTGGTAGATATACACTGCATAGTATCTCCAAATTCGAACAATACTACTATTTGGTGCTTATTCACCTGAAGTCAGTCCACGATAAAAACTAACGTCAACTACTTAAAATATTCCACAAAGAATCCAACAAATATTCAACTTACTTAAAAAAGCTGTTGGAGCTATAGCACCTTCTCTTAAAGCCACTGCAACTGCTATACCTGTTTCTAGAAATGGTACGCTAAATTCAATTTGCTGGGATCGATTAGGTGTGATCTTCAATGATGTTACTGCCATATCAGCTCTATTATCCATTAGATCACGTATAATACCATTCCATCCATCTGGCTTTCAAATAGAAATGTCAATATTTCCAAAAACAATATTATTCAGTTAATTAAATGGTAAAAGACAACATATATGGTTCAAAAACTTCATACAAAGTAGTGAGAGTGAGTAGATGCACAAAATTCCATTGTATTATACCTGATTGGTATGAAATTTGTACCAGTACAGTTTTGTAAAATACAGTTGTCTCTGGCAGAAAGTTAAGAACTGAACTAAAAGAAGGCTTTCTATAGATCACATGAATTTATTTCATTCCTCCAAATGACAATAAAACCAATAAAGTTTGAACTGGTGCATTTATGAACATGAATACAGTACTTATGGTAACAAGTTTTTAGAAAAGACCAAAAAAGGATTTTTACTTGGTATCCTAGATGACTTATTCGAAACCTTAGCGTAAAAGAAAATTAACTCTTCAATACTTAGTTGCCAGACGTTCAAATCTTAGGTGGACATGAACTTGTTATCTTTGAAGTCCTGAAAATGATTAACAACGAGAAACGTCGCTTTGCAGAAGTCTTTGTAATCAAACGCTAGTGACGCAACTTATGTAGAAAAAAACCGTGTGGGCCTCATTGTTTGCTACTAGCTCATGACTTTACATAATTCATTATTCTTAGGCTAGTCTTTGTGGTAAATTTTTATCAGCATTTGCACACTTACCACAGAAAACGAATTTAATCGTTGGAAATAATGCTGTAATTTGACGAAGATATCCTGTCTTCTACATCAGAAAGCCAAATGACTGAGGCCTGTTTAAACGATTTTGATGTTAGCACTTAAAAGATTATTTTCCCATGAATAGGCAAATGATAAATATTCATCAATAGCAATACTGAAAAGTTATTTATGTAATATATCGAAATTTTGTCGAAAGTTTATCTTGAAGCGTATACAAGTTATCGAACCCTTATAGTTCGTATTTTGAAATGTGTGTTCAATCCACCGAATGTATTAATGATGAATAATATCCCTCCAACCAATAACTATTTTATCTTACTATCATTATATTGTGTTCGACTGTTACCGTATAAGTATTTCCATGCCTTTTCTCATTTTGTCCACAGTGTAGTCAAGGCTATATATTTCATTATGTGAACATTGAAAGAAGATAAAGGCTTAATTATTATTCATAAACTCTGACTTACAGGAAGAAATACTCCGGCAAACTAAACGATTGTTTGATTTTATGCTTATCTTGTATATCCGTCTCATCCTTTTCATGAGACTATTTTATGGTACAAACCTAAAGCTTATTCACCAATCAAAACAAACACCAGTTTGGAAGTATGTCGTTGAGGAATCCCATACGAAAAAGTAACAGCTTCCTGATTTCCAGTGGTCTCCTAGTTGATTCCAGTCTGTGGCAAAAACTAAGGTTTATTTTTTGGGCTTTTTATTTCAATACTGCATAGCTAATCTGAAAGACTAAATGTCCGAATCTCAAGTTTGAGTAAAGGATAGTTATATTGAATTGTATTCTATCTACTTGTAGGCATTCTTGTTAACTTTAATAATGATTTATTATGATACTTATTATCTGATCATGACTAAGTACTTCCATTGTGTTTAGAAAATTATGAATGCCTGAAAAATAACCAAACACTAGTTCAAGAAAGAAGGTTTTTTCGTAGTTTAAGACTATTTTCAGTTAATTTGTAATTTAGTACAGCGTCACCCGTTGTCATCGATCAGTATGGACTTTCTGATAGAATTTGGAGACATTAATTTCATCGCCAGCCGCAATATGAGCACACCATTCTTACTAAATCTAAAAAACAAGCTCTATAATTCAAAGCTTTTGATTGTAGCTTGTCGAAACGGTATCTTTTAATTTTGGAGACAATATTTGTAATGAAAAACAAATAATAAAATTAACTATAATGTTGTCATTATTATATATACGATAACTTACTGTCCAAGCCCCCCAGAAACCATCTTTAACTTCATACATTTCAACATCAAAATTTAAATCTTTCATTAATTCCATTAGTAAGTCCATTGTCAGTCCGGAACAACAACCATCTACATAACTAATTGAATTATTCTCATTTACATTATATAATTCTGACAAATTGCTAACATTTTCAGTTAAGGATTCTGGTTTAATTTTTTTGTTGATATCTTTAGTATAAGAATTTAATCCAAGTGAACTTAAAGTTTTATGGATGATTGAATTCTTTCCAGAAATATCTTCATCTTGTAAAGACTGTGGTCTGAGTTTGCACGGAATCGAATTCGCATCACATGTTCCACCTTCCTTGTAATAGAATTTCAAGAAAAGAAAAAACGAAAATTATGTTTAAATATAACACCATCAAGCATTTAGTTCGTGCTTTGATTTATTTCCAGAGCTAGAGATCAAAATGCTTGAATTCGACGATTGCTAACGTCATTGATGTCAAGTTCATAATAATTTACAGCCAACAAATCATTATAAAGGAAGAATACAATACATATTTTTTCGGACAGTAAAGTTTGAGAGGGTGAGACAGATTATTCATCTGAGTTAACAAAAAAACTGTTTACGATTAGTACAGTGTGCAGTGCGGTGACACTACCAATAGCTTCGATGGCTGACCGCTTACTTTTAGTAAATTAAACCTATTAAAACTACTGATGTTAGGTTTCAAGTGTCGAATATCTGTTGAACTTCGAATTTCTGGGATTTATTTATCACTACAGAAGATATAACCTTGCTCATTTCGCAGTTATAATAATCACTGACATCGCAATAATGTATTTCTTCAAACTAAAAAGACCATTTCGATTGTGATAAAAACCATTTGTGTTTTAAATTTTTAAGAATGGTGTTCTAGAATGTGGGGGTGATACATTCCCTTTAGAGTTAATCGTTTGATAAGAAGTGTCACGAAAGAATCCATTGTTATCCCAAACATTTTTTGCATATATATTGTATATAACATTCACTTTGTTTAACTATGGTATGTATTTACTTGATTTTGAAATTCTGGAAAGAAAATGCGAAGGTCTATATTGTTTGAAACATGCATTGCATATTCACAAAATAAAAGTTCAACTTTGTTTTAAACAATTCATAATAAAGTTTACGACGTGATTGTCGCCTGTATTCCTGTCTTCATAAATCTGTTTTAGATGATACGTTATGTGTAGAAAGAAATCAAATTATTTACTGCCATTATCCTTAGGTTTAACTGATCCAGAATGTTGGTGAAACCCTTTATTATCAATCCTTATGACGTTTCAATACATTCGCTTGTGATTTTTGGATAACTTTGTGTTTCTGTCTTTAAAATCATCTGCGTATTTTATCGAATCAAAAAAGACACTTCATTATGATAGTAACCATTTACAAGACCAATATGAATTCATATTACTGAATATTTTTTTTATAATCAAAAAACTTATTCTTTAATAGTGAACAACTTTGTAGATGAATAACAAAGTATAACAGACCTAAAATAAATCACTACAACTGATTTCTCACGATTACATTAACTTCACAACTTTGGTATTGATTACCACAATAGAGAATCATAGTGTTGAAGTTATGTAACTTCTATGAAGTAAGCATATTGTATCTAGTGGTTTGTTGAGGGAAAACAATTTCATTTTACAAAGACTTACACATATTAACCTTACAAAACGTGGATACTAATATTTTAATTGATAACCTTCCTTAGTTAAAAGTGTGTAATATATTCTTACTTGGGCTTTGGTATAAATAACAAACGGTATTTCTTTAATAGTTACTACGCGTAGTTTGAATTTACTTGGTCGACCTTTAGGTGGAGAATTCGACGCGCCAGGCCATGTTACACCATCTATTCTTAATCTTGATTTACTTCTACCCCATTTACTGCTCATTGACCATGTCCCAACCTACATGAAAAGTTATTCAGAATACAAATCAGTGATTCGAATAACGTTCTAAGTAAAATTAATATTCAAACTCCCTCTTCATACCAAACAGTAAATAGATGAAATGTAGTGCGAATTGCCGATAAGCCTTCGCTAATATAAACTAGACATGATGTATCTATCAGGAGAAGAAAATCCAAATTAATAGGACTATGCTTTTGTATACGTGTACATTTCTCAGTTGGCTGTTAGTTTATTATCTTTGTTGCTGTGAGACTTCATGCATCAAATCACATATAAAATGCTACATTTGACACTAGTAGTTTAGTATTCAAATTATTTTCACTAAGTCTATTTTTGTCTTTTGTGTTTTTGTTCGTAAGTGATTATTAGTCTATTAAGAATAAGATGTTTGTTAATCGTGTCTCTGTATTCATTCTATGGTAGATTTTGACACTGCCAAGTTTTTTTTTAACGCATTTAGTAAAAAGTAAATACACTCGATTCTATATCCCTCAAGGCAGCGGATAAAATATTTTCTTTTTTTACTGAAGTATTACTAAAGTCCATAAGTTTGAGATTGGTTAGTGTAATACGGTTCTGTTTATTCTTTTTGCCCTAAAAGTTACTTGATTTAATAAAACATGCAATATGCATTCTGAATAGTTTCTTAACATTAAGGAATATGTTTTATCTCAAAGAGTAACGTAGTCGCTTTGATGTAGGAACGAGTTAAACCATACCTTACTTCTCATGATGAAATAATATAGAAATTTTAAGTTACTGATTACAGAATGGCAGAAGTAAATCCAATGACTCAATAATTGTGTCTATTTTTAAACTAGAGGCAAATACCTTGATAGTTTTTTGTCATTTTCGATGGTGTATCTTTAAAATCAAAAAGCAACTATTTTCAAATCACTTTAAAATTGTCCTCTATGAATGGTGTTTAAATATCTAATGACAATTACAATCAATCCAAATGAAGTGATATAACAGCGTCAGCGATTAGAATAGCAGAAATCGACAAATACGTGTTAGTATAAGATACTGAATATGTAATAAATTTCATTCGTAAAATCATTTATTCGATTAGTATTTACTAAACATCCATTAATAATTAGTTGCAATATATTTCCGACTTACTGATAACAAATAAACCTTAATGATGTTTGTACCTTCTGTACTAAACAAACAAAAAGATATTGAGGAATAGTTTCCTGATAGAAAATAAAAACAACTAACAATATGAAGTTATCATTTTGACATACTTTACCCTTTTTTAGAGCATGCTGAAGTGGTGGGAAAAATGTAAAACACATTAGAATGCATTTTCTAAGCGAAATAGCACAGTTGAAATATTAAAAACTGTGCTGTTTTGCTAGACGATCTCCAAAAAGAACGTTATCACGTTCAAACTGAATTTATTTCAGGTGTGAGTGACAAAGTTTTCATCTTTCACTCTCCTTCAAATCTTATCAAACTATTAAGAGAGAAATTGTCTAAAACTTCTACATTTTATGAACGATTAAAATTTAAGACATTTGTACATTGTTTACATGCTTAGACATGACATTATTCTAAATGATTTATCATATAATATAAGTAATACAGAAAAACCACATACATCTGTAGTTATTCTAAAATACATCTGAACTTCCAACATGTCTTTGAATTCTATGCATAGTAACAAGAATAAGTAATATCGTGAGAAAAACAGACTAGCTCCTAAGTGATTTTTTCTTTATCAAGTGGAATGAAAATTAATTGATTCTTATCCTTGTAATTTTGATAATCAAAGCCACACTGAAGATAACGTCGAAATTTCTATTTATAGAAACACAAGTTTGAAATGAATAATAATCAAAACAACAACCCTTCAATCATCATTCATTTGCAAACAGAATCAGTAGAACAATTATAAAAGGTTATACTTTACCTTATACCATTTCATTCGACCGTCAATAATTCGTGAATTATAAATAAATAATTTGGAAACATTTAATCCACCATTCGGTAAAAAACTTATCGGTTCATTATCTACATTTACAACAATTGTATGCATAATGCTGTAAAAGAAAAACAAGACAAAGATGCAATAAACAATCAAGCGAAATATCGGTGAGATAAATTAATTTATCAACACAAAATTCATCAATATTTAATCAGACACATTGAACAATATTTAGAATTAATCATCAGTTAGTTACACAATTTTGCTATGTAGAAACACGCTCTTCTAAAAAAATAGAACTATGTTTACTTGTACAATGAAGTTGAATGGGATACGTTGTTATTTCTAATGCATATTTCCAATTTAGGAATAGCAGTCAATTATTTTAGATCTGTTGACTAACAAAAAAATACGATCACGAAAATAGTCAATTTCAAAAGTGGCAGTAATCTTTAATTCTTGTCAAAATATTTATTGATTATCACCAGAAGAAAAATGTAGGAAACAAATTCATTAATAAACTGTTACTGTTTGTCTTTTCTCTTGGTTACTGAAACTTTCCTCAATCAAAATGACAAAATATATTTCAGGTAAAAGAAAGAAATGAAATAGTTTGACTTTACTTTTTATTATTTATACAGTTACTTGACGTTGAATGAAAAGGGGAATTTTCAAAAGGATTTACTGATATAACTAACTTTTATATATATGAAAGAAAATCAATAATTCATAGAGTCATTCCGCGCTGTTTGTAAGTTAATTTGATCAACCATGAATCTGCATCAAATAACAGTTTCATCATGTTCTGAAACTTCAATAATAGTTTATATTGAGTACAGTGATATCAGGCAATGAAATTATTAAAGCTATACGTTTTTGTTCAATTATGGCTTCAAGGTTAAAATATGCTTATATGAACAAACTTTTGCCTACTTATACAATAGAAATAATTGTTTCACCTCGAAGCAGAGTTTGCAAATATTCAACCACATGGAGGTTGATTTTTTCGTTACTTACAATAGATATTTTTCCGATTTCATAATCAAGTACCTTCCGTTTCTAGACCTCTTAAGTTATGTTATACTAACGGACGAAGCAAAACACTAATACTAGGTGAATTGACATAGTCCAAAAAAGAACTATCTGTAAAGTTTACCCACAGAGTTTCACGAGTGCATAGTAGTACCAACATCTGATGGCATATACGATTGACCTAGTCATTAAATGATTCTGTTTACTGTAAAACGCTGGTATTATTTATATACCAGTAATAACTTATTTAATAGTACGATACTTATTGTTATTTCACATTAATGAACAAAATCACTTATACCATGATAACGATTCCTGACTAAAACTAGACCCAATGCTGACTGATGATATTTCAAACTGAGAGCTAAGCGTTTCGAAATGTTGTGACATCAATCATAAAAACTTTAAACAACATATTCTGTTTAGCATTTACAACTTGGGGTTTAGGTTACATAATGCTTTGTATGAAATGTAATTTATTTCACAAGATTAAATGGTTTTCAAACCTTAAAATATTATCACTTAAAAGTTATAATAATCAAGATTATAACAATAATAAATCTAAACTTTTAAGAAATGTTTCGTATGATAACAGTATTTAACCCAGATTATATAAAGTTCAAGGTTGTATCCTACTTTGGGACTACATATTAATTGATATCTAGCGGTTCTCAATCTATATATATATATATATATATATATATATATATATATATTGTGGCAAGCCCATTTGACCACTGTATCATTTGTCTACTCATTTTAACTCAGACACTTAATTCATCATGTTAATTTCTGTGTGCATCATCGAATGCATGTCTGTACATTAACCCTTAAGCTATCCTCCTATTGGTTGCAATGTACCGATAATCGATAACTTATCCACACACGATTAACTCTCAAAAATATATATGGATTTTTAACACACACACTCACTTTGTTTCATCGTGTGCTTGCTCGCTGTGCGCTTGCGGATTTTTATTAATCATTAACAATAAATTATCTCTACAACTGGTGTTCAGGCTTTTGAATAATCTCGCGTAAAATCCATAATTCTACCAGGAGATTTAGCCTGCATTAAATACTCGGTTAACGGGATATTATTTATTGGAGTCAGATATAGAGGACATTAGCCTCAATAATATATATAAAGTGTACTTATACTTCATTAAACTCTATGGTTGTACTTATGAAGACTATATGATTGAATTATACCAAGTACATTAGTGTAATTTATCCTTTTGCATATAATACCAGTAAAAGTTATTACATTTGACTCAGAAATCTTACATTTTGTCATTACACATAAATTAAAAAATAATTCTATATAATTTTCTCGGTAATATATGTCTATGAACGTTTTTAATGCAGAATCAGTTGATACTTGATAATCATAAATTATAGCGTAACAAATAGAAAGCATGTTCATACTTTAGTAAATGATTGAACGAATTGTGTGTGTGCATGTACTTTCGTTGTTTCGATTTCTTCTACTGTTATAAAATGAATATTAAGCACACATAATAGGAAAATACAAATATTTGGTCTACCTATCTAACAGTTTGTTTTTAATTTGTTTTTACTACATGTTCTATATCAGTTGTAAAACTTAATGGAAAGTTTCTTCGTAAAGAATAAATCTTTCCTTTTCATCTAGTACAGTTGTTTTTATCTTTTGAACAGTTATATTATTTCTGTACAATTACTATATATAATCAGGCAAACAAACACAACAAGCACGATATCTCATTGCCTTTGAATCGCCAAAAATATCCCTTTAATAACATGTACCGTGTTCACAAAAAAGTTTACTGTATGTAAATTAAGTGAATTCGTTGGAATCATGAAATATTATACTGCGTAACTTATGTAAAGAAAATATTCAACCTGTAATTACTTCTCTACTTAGGCGATTTGTAAGTGTTTGTAAACTTACGAATAACATAAAGTGATCAGTCAATAGATTATGCTTACAATAAATAACCAAAGTCATCATTTTATTTGTGGCAGATAAAATGTGTCTTTTTGAAGTAAAATGAAAGTAAAATTCCTGATTTCGACATTGTCAAATGTGTATACAAAGGAACTTGTTACAACAGATTAGTGATGTGATTAGATTGTTGGTTTTCTATCTTTAAATTCTGAGAATGACTTACATCTATATAAGAATAATTAATTGTCGATATGAAAAGTTAAAATTTCACTTTTCATGAAAACTCCAAGTTTCCCATGACAAGTTATCAAATTCAATCTACTTATGGCTCATACCTTTGTAATAATGACCATGATGATAATAAACCTAGTCACGTTGATCGTCGCTACATCCATGTCGAGTAAATTCGCTTGCCTATCAAAGAAACCTAGATCTTAAATAGATTTATTCAACATTATAGACTACTATGCAGTCTTAATATCTTCATTTATCTAATTAAATTAATCAGTTATTAGTTAGGATAAACTTAACCTCCATACACAAACTTTTTCAAAGGAGCCGAATCGAAGATAGTTATAATGTATCAGGAAATATGTTTAAACTTTCTATTGTATGTCGATAAGTTTGCTTTATATATTCATCTGCTTCGTTTCAACTCAATATATAGTTGAGAATAATCTACAGTATCAAACCGAAGTCAACTATCCGAATGCCATTTGCTAGTTTGTATTACTGAAACAATATAATTTAGAAAACGGGTATTTTTCCAGGGCATTTCTTATCTCTATTTTTTACAAATGTTTTATGTTATAACGCTACATTTTGGTTCACTGATATGAAATTAATTATTCCCCGTAATAATGTTTTATCATAGATTCAGTGTACATGGGACAATCATCATCATAAATCGAGAAATTCTAAAACAAAATATCAACAGTGATTATTTTCATACTTAATCAATTTGTAAGTACGTTTTAATTCTATTAGGAATATGCTTGTTTAAGATTGCTTCAAAGATGCTGCAAAAAATATGTTTTATCAGACTCATACTAAATAAAATGAAGTTTAGAAATAAAGTAGGCAATTTAGTTGAAGTAACATTTATTGCCCAAATACTGAAGATTGTATTTGTACTTCATAAGACACTATTATGATTAATATTACCAATACAAAGTCCACTTACTCATACATTCTTCTTCCCCATTGCCAACTTAAATGGTCGGAAAATTGACATAATTTAACAGGTCTAAGCTTCTCTAAAATCTGTTTGAAATAAATTAATGTATCTCTATTCGGCGTATCGATTTGTATTGATTTGTCTGGTGGATAGATTTGAGTCAACTGATAAATTAATTCAATCATTGATTTCTGCCAAACTTCTCGTGCTATTTCAGCACTTCTTCTACGACTGGAATGATCATTTAAACAAATTAAACCTTTTTTAAAAAAAGACAAGAAAGAATAAATTCATTAAATGATTTTACAAAGTAGTATATTCATCAAAATATGCAAATTTTAATTAACAGTGAAAATATTGATGACAGACTATTTTTGGGGCTTTAAATTAATTTCGGCTGTCACTAAACTAAATGGAACAAATATGTAGTATACTATACGGTGATATGTTACAGCAGATGTATGCCACATAAAGTTTCCTTTATTATTTATTCTCCCCGTTCCCACTATTAGTTAAATAATTGGATAATGTTAGACTGCAGCTGTACTTGATTCAGTGTTTTTTGATCCACCATAGAAATTCACCACTAAGTAGTAATTAATCTCATATTGTTTAATCTGCAGTGCTAATTGAATTTTGTCGAGAGAGCTTGTGATGTAGTTATTAAGTCAAATAACCTAAAATTACGATAGTTTACTTTATCTCAGCTCCTTCGAGGTTTCAGATAAGTTGTGCTGGTGTATATCAACCAACTCGAAAACTAAGTTCACGTTTACATTTCGATTACCTAGAAGTATCTGACAGTTTCATAAATAGCTAAGAAAACATGATTTTGATAAGAAAGTCATAAATGATGCTTATATAAAGTGAATGTTTATAGAAATTTACCAGTATGTAACCTTTACAATGAAAGCTAATTTTAAGGTGGTTATAGCTAGGCATGATCGAAAAGACGTCTCTTAACGTTGACAGCGGTAAATACAAGGCTTTTTGTCGATTCTCTTAATAAGTAGATACCATAGGTTTTATTGTAAACATTTATTTCAATATCAATATAAAGTTCAACTTTGTGGAATTATGTCAATCCAAGTCACAGCACGTTAGATCAAATCAATTAAAGAAAATTAGCGAAACGAAAAGCAAAGGAATTGAAACACCTAAACCAGCGTTATTGTAAAACTAAATAAAAACGAAACGAATAAAATATTGGATCAAAAAAATATGAAGTTATACCATGTTCGAAATTTGAGGACACATTAAAAATGAGCATATCTGCGCCACTGTGATCATTAATTATTCACCATTCAAGACTTGCATCCATACGTTGTGATGATTTCATGAATCACATCCAGAAATTTAGCACCCATCGAAACAATAGTATTGACCTTAGTAGTTGCATACAAACGACGACGAAAACACCAAGTATTAACTGAAATGTTCGGGCAACTTTGTTTTCATTTACATTAAGCATCCTAGCCTCGAGTTCGACGCCATCCAAGAGAAGCATCAATGTTAGTCTTAACACAAACATTTATATCCAAAACATAACTAATCACAACTTGAAAATTGTTTCTGAATAGCAATAAAAATATGTGAAATTAGGATCACAGTCTCGTTATATCTACGCGAAAATGAAACAAATCTTTAACGGTTTCAAACAATCAAGGATTTCTGGGTAGTCAGGGGGAAAATATAAATGAAACCTCTATCAAGAATAAAGCTGGTCAGAATACGTATTTGATTAGTTTCGTAGTTTTAACTTTCAGAATTTTGCACTCCAACACAAAAACAAATTATTTACGTAGGATTTTTTGATAATAATCATTCGAGAAAAAGCCAAATAGTTGTGAGAAACTTTGTTTAAAGTAGTTCTTTATACCGATCTTGAATATTTTCGTGAATGTATAGGGTTTATGGAAGTGTGTCAGTTTGAAATTAGTTCCACTTTGCAGCTATAGAGGTTTAACAAACCAAGGAGCGATCTACTGTCGTCTAATTCTTGCCTTTTACTACTCAAAAGTGCCTACATACTGTTCTGACAATGATAGAATACATCATTTTTGGTTATAATGAACAAGTTCACATTCGCAGCTTCGGATAATTGACTATAAAGGCCTATTATCATCCAAAATATATCAATAAGTTTTTAATCCATGAACGAAGTAACAGAAGACACTTACCAAACATCCCGGGAATTTTTTTAAACATTGTTGATTCTGCAAGAACGTTATTATCAGATGATACTTTGTCTTGATTATCAGCTACCGTAAGGGAACTCATTGTTGACGGTGTATAAATCCAGACATAGTCTTCACCGAATAACGCTTTCAAATGTTCATGTTTTGTACCATTCAAACTATCTGCTATATAAAGCAGTGTATTTAGATCAAAGCTAAAGTGCAAATAAATTATTGTCTTTACATCGAAAGCATCAGTGAAATTAGTAAAAATATATGCATAGGTGTATTGTAAATATTTTTAAGTAATTAATTATTTGGTGACTAGTATTCATACTGTCAGATACATACACATCTAGTGTTGTAAATCAAGGATCTACGAACTACATGTTTTTAAAGCAGATTATTTGTGTTTAACTAACCTCATTGTAATAAAATATTGGGTTGCGACTAGAGCCTGAAATACATAGGTGTATGTTATGTTTGGTGATATCACCAAAGCCCTCGATAAGATATTTCATCTGGGAGTGAAATATTAAACTTTAGGAATCAAAGACGAATCCGATTAATGAACCAAATGTATCCCAATGAACGTTGACAACGAGTGAAGGTACTCTGTTCTCGTGTGACGCTATGAAAGGTGGAATATTTCAAAGGATAACTTTAGGCTCTATTTACCGTTACTTCAAATGAATAGTATACCTGATTGCTTACAGATGATAGTAAACTATCCGGAAATATGATCAGTTAGGCTTGGAATTTTATTTTGAATTCCAAGATTACGTGGCCAAATCGATTATCACAAACATGTGTTGCAAAGTGAATCGTAGAAAAATTTTGAAGACTAACGTAACTATATAATACATTAGAAGCTTTAATTAAAGTTTACTGATTATAAAAGTTTAAAAGTCATGCTGAGTAGTAGCCACAACATTAAAGACAACTGAAAGTCAATGTCTCCCGAAGGGTTCTCAGTATTTTGGATACTTAGTGAAATTCTTTAGAATATGGATAAGGATGTATTCAGAATGTTGTAACTGTGATATATATATATATATATATATATATATATATATATATATCGGACATAGTTAAAATATTTGATTCAAGAAGCACTCCTTTATTTCAAATTCATAGTAAATATCCCAAAACTCGTTCAAAGAGGAGTAATAAAAATGTACAAAAGATTTCCATTCTAAATATGGAGGGTCAAGAATTAATTTTATGTAATGCTATCGTATATGGAAAGATCATTTTAATATTAACATACCGTATCTGTTTCTTTATTATATTACTGATTTCAATGGAAAATTCTTAGGAACTTGGGAAACTAACGTCAGTATGTTAAGATTGAAGGTTTCGACTTCTACACAACATTTCAAATAATGAGAATGCTTATCAAAACAAGTAATAACAGCATCTGTCAGTTAGCTCTAATAAATATTCACTTAATTAATTGGTCAAAAATCACTAGAACTAAGAGCAAATATGTTTAATTTCATTACAAAATTATCAAGGCATAAATGTTTTATGTCATTTACAAACGACTCTCGATAAAAATAGTGTTCCATTGACTTCCGAATTTTCAAAAAATAAATCAAAAGGACCCTAGCCTTTACATATTACAGTGTACTTAAAAAAACCAAAATGTACCGGTTACACACAAGAATAATAACATATTTTTCTTGTTGTAAATTATATTTTCTATGACAAATGAATGAGCTGTTTATAGGAGGATAGTCCAGATTTTGGACTTTGAAAATATTCCTGTTTTATGGGGCTTTTAGACTAATTTTAATGAGTTATACATCATCAAATGAAAACATTTTCTGATGATTTGAGAATACACGTTTGCCCCAAACAACAGTGTAACATATGGTGAATAACTGATGAATTGATAACAAAATCTAGAAAATTAAACTTCTTGTATTTACACAGCTGTGCAGTATTTTTCCTTAGAAAATACTGCTTTTTTTTCTAAACATATATACTGCCAATAATTTTCACTATATTTATTCAAAAGAATAATGGAATTCAGAAAGTCTTATAGTTATGAAAATGTTCTTCATTATTTTTTAGACAAACAATAAACTAAAAAGATACAGTAGTATATAGTTTCCTGCTACAGATGTTTCTTGAGTGGTTAAAAAGTATTGTATTACACCGATAGGCTTAATTGATGGAAGTTACATAAAGTTGTTCAACATAATTCTCGTCAAATATTTACTACATTACTTTAGGTGATTTGATGAATGTGACAGAAAACCCTAGATTTAGTCTTCATACTGGTCTAAGTTATAATCAAGGAAATATTTACAATCTTAATGGAATAAGTGCCTGCTGTCGAGTTGGGACAATTGTCATGCCAAAATAGTTGTCATAGAAATTATCATTAAGTCATTTAATTGTTTACTTATGAATTTAGAACCGTGAAAATACATTTATCAATAGAAAGGAATTTCTTCTTAACAAGGGTAGTCTTCATTTGGTGGCAATCAAATTACATAAATGAGAGTGGATTTTAAATAAGTGATGAAAATAAAATTAATTTTGACAGTAACATAGTGTTTATATCGCACAACTAATATATATATATATATATATATATATATATATATATATATATATATATATATATATATATATATATATATATGTTCTGTATTGAATTACAACTGTTAAGACTAATTCGACCCATATACTCATATTTATCTATCACATTTCATCATATAAAAACATATCATCAAGTTACATCGAATTATACGAAAACTACTATCGATTCTATAAATATTATTAATAAGACATTCATCTATACTTCCGTATATAAATCTCTTTTGATTAACTTTTAAATAATATGACTAAAACCGATGTCACTGATGGATGAAAAATTAATATTACCGACTTCTTGATCACCTCAAAGGGCACATCTCTAAAATTCTTCAGCTCTCAACTAATTAGCTAATTGAAAAACAGTCAATGGTATAATTGTATGGCTTCAACTCAACATTGAATGATGTAAGATTCTGTCGCGAATAGTTTCAACTTACATGTTTATAGATTTACATAAGCTGATAACAAAGTACTCTGATTTCATTGATTTCATACAAAATGTTCTATACATTTCAAGGATAAATCTTTAAGTAATAAACCTACTTAGCAAAACTGCTACATCTTACCCGGAAGAAATAGTAAACTGAATTGTTGACGTTCTTGGCATCCATGAGTGAAGTATGTTTGCAATAGTTAGAGATTTCATTGTTGCTTTTATCCTGAAGTCATTTTTGTTCAACAGTGAAACCCAACAATTTAGGAATTTAACATTTTCAAATTAAGCATCAGGAATAGAAAAGCAAGATGAGCGCTTTTAAATACCACGTACTTCTCAAAGCTTTTTACTATCCAACTGATGATATTAAAGACTAAATTTCATCACTACCTAACGGCATTTGTATATTGTGAATGTATTCGTTGATATTTCATGTAAATATAGTTCTCCGGAAACCAACTAAAATTGGAATGTAATACTCGCATTTCATACTGTCTGGGACTCGTCAAATACAAGCCAGTTACGGGGTGTTTTAAGAAAATAACGTTATTTTAAAGTTCCTCAACTTAGTGTCAGACAGTCACTTATTCACAGGTCGAGTGAATCATATAAAATAGTTTTGATATCTTACATTATTACTATACCATAAAGGCGGAAATCGAATGCATTACGTATTTACATTCTTATGAAATGTTTTTTTCTCGGAATTATAATTTATCTTCGAAATCATTTCACATTATAAACTATCACAACGTATACAGTGTACAGCAGTCCCATGATATATCTACTGATATTAAATCATTATTACACTGAGTTGAACATACGTCTAAACCTTATTTTCTCTGCATTTAATGTTTTATTGAAAGTAAAAGTACATTGTTAAGTTGATTATATAACAAGCTCTAATCAATAAAATCAACTTACAAATTCCCATTGAATATAATAACTCTTGCATCGGCGCGCCATATGCTTTCTAAAATATTAATTAATGGTATTAAACATGGTCGAATCTCCCTTAACATTTGATCTATACATTCTGTAAATTCAATAGAAGTCAATCCTTCAAAAGGAAATTGATAATTTATTTCAAATCTGTAATATAAATGAAGGAAGTAAATTCGAATCAAAATAAGTAATCTAGCTAGGTATTCATATTAGCGACTGAATGCACACCTAAGCATATTCTTATTTTATTTAATGATAACTACGGATATGTTTTAACAATATTGAATTGGGAGTTTGAGAGGTCACTCAGAATATCACTGAAAAGAATAAATGAATTTAAAGTTGAAAACTGAAAAAGTTCGGATGAAAACTAGACAATCTATTTATAGTATGCTGAAATTTTTAACGACTTTTTTTTGACTCATTTGAATTCAGTAAGAATATGTGACAAGAATAATTTGTCATTGTTTCCGGAATTTTCTCGAAGCATCTTCTCATTAAATCATCGTTTTGTACTCGGAATAACGTATCGAATAAATCTTTAGTAAGGAATAAATTTATTTTACGAACGTTTAGACGCTGTTAATAATCAAAATAAAACGAGAGTGTACAAAAAGGCGATTTAAGCATCCAAAAGTTCTATGTTAAGGAATAAAATAATCATAAAATAAAAAGAGTAGCTCGGGGATCTGAATACGAAATGATTAGTAATCAAATTGGAAAAGAAATATGCGAAACAAATTGGCATAAAGTTATAACAACAAAGGTAATGATGAGATATTGGTATAACTATAGATCAGAGTTAAGAATACATATGTTAACATAATGTAGTTAACTTTCACAACGGACTTATTATAAACTAGTTGAATCATAAATGTTTTGACCGAGAAAGATATAGTCGACGGTATTGCATCACTTGTATACAATCTGAATTGTTAACCATTGATTGTTAAGTTAGTGATCTAAACGTATAATGTTTGTCACAATAATTGAAGTTCTTAATTCGACAATTATGGGCTGATTTACATACAAATGTAACAATTCTTCTGGATTTTCTCGTTTTAAATGGTTTTCTAACTTATAAATTTGTGACTAAAACTAACTTTCAACATTTTGTTACTTGATTTTTCCTTTATTTAAAATTCAAAGTTGAAATGTATCATATTGTTTAACACCTACATGGTAGTGGGGAATTATACTATGCTGTGTGTTCCGATGCATTATCTAAACGTCGAGCTGATTATCAATGACTTTCTTTTATTAGATATTGGATACCGGTATATAGTTAACATGAAAAATAACAAGTATCGTGAAACTTAGAATCAAAAATTGCTTTGTATTTGTTTTATTCGATTGATGTCAGTCTCATTTATGTTTTCAATATACATGATTCATTATAGTCTTACTATTAGTCAGAAATTTAGTAAAACGCCAACTTACTATTTAAAACAATGATGGAGTAAAATAAATCAAAGACAATAAATTTATATTTACGATAAATTACTTACTCGAAGTAATTTGGATGATCTTGTGCACTTCGTTCAACTTGGAGTTTTCTAAATTCCTCAACTAATACATCTGATCCAGGTACTTGTGTATTGTAAACCATAATAACAAGATTCCATTTATACGCATGCATAAAATCAACCAATGCTCTTGCAACATGCCATGTTAAAGGTTCTAATCGAATAGCTAATTGTGAATCATCAAGCTAATTAAACCAAAATTGAATTGGGAAAAGCAAATATATATAAATAATGTGCCCCATATAAAATAAACTTATAAGAACGACAAAAAGTAAAGTGCTTGGATACTCTGTGAGTTATTTGTTATCATAACTTAATTTCTTATTTGCAAAATTTTCAGTAGGAGTGGTATTACTACATAAGACAGTCTGTTTTGAATGTATATTCATTCTCGGTTGCAAAAACCATTTCAGATGAGGATAGATTCCAACACGTATGTATTTAAATTCAAAACGCTCAAATGGTATTTTACTGTGTCTACTGAAGGACAGTAGGAATTACTGGATACGTTAGTTTAAAGTATGAATCAAGTAAGTGTTGTGTTGTATAACCGTAAATGATAAAGTCGCATCAGGACGAATGAGGTTATATACCACTAGGCAATAATTGGATCAATTCTACAAATCATCAGTAGACATTAAAACTCTCGGTGAAACATTATATTTACTTTCAAGATTTCAACGAATTGTGATATTGAAGCCAACAATTTTTTGAAAGTTTCATCAGGTGAACTTGTAGTATTCAGTTTAGTGATCTTATGGTGTATACTAGATGGCTGGCCGTCATGTGACGACGAAAGATAAATAGCTCAATTAATATCCATCATTTCTTATCAGTCCGTGTATATTTACCAACAATTAATAAGTTCAAAAGAATAATGTCTAAACTCGTGAACCAGTCCTGATGAAGGGTCTTAAAATAAAGTGGGACATTTTTGTCAGTCCTTTCTGATTTAAAATTTTCTGAAACTGATGGCTGTTTGGAACGAATACTAAATTACAATGGAACAATATCCATGTTATACTGGTAATTTGATCAGATAATCATTACCAACTCGAAACAGATGAATTCACCAAACAATTAACTTGATACAAAGTTAAATTCAAAAATAAAGAAAACTATGCTATTAACATTTGGAATATTATCATAGGGTTGTGTGTAGGTGACCTGTTTGAATTTGTGGGCTACGTATTTCTGCCATCTGGATATTTCAACAAGTTACCTGTTTTCTTGTTTGTTTTAACACATCATTATGTATATTAGTCGCATAACCTATCTAGGAGCGTTTGTGACAAGTTTACGACATCTCGCTGTACAAGTTACAAAAGAGTCCAATCAGAGTCATCGTGGTTACTGGCGATATGCATCGAAAAAAAATGTATATTATTCAAAAGTCGATTCCGGGACTGCTAAATTCTAACTGGCGACCACTCAATATTTATCTCAAGGTTCGATCAGGAAATAATAAAAGAAAACTTGTTGAAATACTTAATGCTAAGAATTCTTTATTGTACCAGAAATAAAATATTGAATGAAGCCAATAATAATGATATTTACCACAACAGATGATCTCAAATACTGAAACTATTAATCTAGGAATTGATCCCTAATATAAATTTCAAAGATACCATTCAATTTCACATGATTTTATTGATTGAGATCTTGAACCGACTGATTTTAGACCATCATTGAAAACCTGGAAGCACTGGACGGCTATTCCGTCCTATTACAAGACTTTTAAGCAGCGCGCATCTACGATCCCGCTCGCGGGATTCGAACCCAGGGCCTTCAGGTTTGCGTGCGAAAGCTTAACCTACTTGACCACCTAGCCGGCGTTTAAGTGTGTTAATGTCTAACCTCGACCAATTCACGAAATCGCGCGACCATCTTCCATTTTACTGAGGTAGATACCTGTCTCGGCCCGACAGGGAATATGGCGCAATGCTGAGGAGTCCCACTATAGGACGAAACGGCCGTCTAGTGGCATCAAATCATACATGATATTCATTAGTTTTGGTCATGTTGGATATTTCACAACATATATAAGCTATATGAGAACGCATATTTTTCTATTTTTAATCAGTATAATAGTTTACACGATCTCCTTATTTACAGATTATCAAAGTGTCTTCACTTCTTACTTTGTATAATCCCGTTGGACCGTAAAAATTATCGGACCTCATCTTTTTCCGAAATAAAAGCTTTATTCCTTGTGACAAGAGATTGTCGTCTAATTATTTTACAAATGGTCTGACAGTGAGCAAATGGACTGTAGAATTCTAGACAAATTGTTTCACAATATCGTGTGACAAATTGAAATTCAAGGGTTTGATTTGGTTCAGAGCAATGACAACTTTGTGTTTGTGAGGATTTCCTATCTAGAACAGCAATACTTTTTTAGATGATATCTATGATAAAAAAACTATTACAAATCTGTCGTTTACTCCTAAAATATGGACTGTGTTGAAAACATATGACGTAATAACTTATAACAACGTGTAGTAGTGAAAATCACCGATCTATAAGGTTATATAAGTATCATGAGTAGTGAGGGAATATGTTTACGAAAAAATAAACGAAAAACATAGTTTTTTTTAAAACTTCTAAATAATGCATCTGGATATACGGTTAAATAGGATGATCTAAGTCAACTTGACTTTGTTCTTGTCTTTTTTCAGTAGATAAATAAATAACGAACTTATTTAAATATATTTTAGTTATGTTTACAACTTCTCTGAAGCTAACAAAAAACAATACGACAGATAATGTCTAATCAAGTAATCATAATTTGTACTATACACGTAAAAAGTATTATTTTCTGTTCTATAAAACAGAAAGAACCAAGCACATGATAAAAAACAAAGAAAAGAGGATCAAGATCATTGAATCATATCAGACAGAAAAAAAAACAAAATTAACCCTTTCGATTATTGATAAAAAGGGAACTAAGAAACTTGATATTAACATTTGATTTTTGCAACAGAAAATAAAAGCTTCAGGCGACAAAATATAAACTTGATATTTACTATAATAAATATTAAATTAAAATGCCAAACTGTATGTATGTTTTTGTAAATCATATGATATTCAATAGTCATAATAAGAAATACATATTGATGAATATTTTTTGGGGTAGATGAAATGGATTATTAAATTCAGAAATCAACCAGTTGTATTATAGGCTGACTTGATTTTCTGTTATTTTGTTAGCCAATTTGTTATTACAAGATCAACAGTGTTACAGGTTTTGATAATGTTAAATTTTTAAAAACTAGCTGACTGCATCTGTTGTTATCACAATTGATTGATCACTGAATGGTGATCAATGTCATGCGTATCTAGTCTTTATTAGTGCAGATCTATCGCCACCCAGTGATCAATCAATTGTGTTTACATCTCTGTCCTACAGGAGGTCGGTCGCGGCTCGGATAGCTCAGTGGTTACGTCTCTGACTGTGAAGCTGAGTGAAACTGGGTCGAATCCGTCAGGGAGCATCAGTTCCCCCAAGATTACAGGTACACCTTTCTGACGACTACCAAGTAGCACGAAACCCGGGTCCAGGGTTTCCTGTCGACTACCTCTAACTACCATCTAATCTGCTGTTACATTCTTTATTATATATATATATATATATATATATATATATATATATATATATATATATATATATATATTGAATGAAGTTTGCTAGTCGACACAATTGATTGAGCCATGCTTACAGAACCCAATATCAGTATTCAACTTAGATATAAATACTGGACATTTCAACTTCATATGTGTTCTAACGAAAAGCGAGAATTTATTTAAGGTGTTAGAGGTGGATCTACTTAAATGAATTTTAACCGTAATCGAGAGTACATAGTCGCACACTAATGAACCTACACAGTATATAAGTATACTTAATTTGTTACAAAACATTAACAAATTATTTGTTTATTACAACAGTTAAACAATTACTGATAAAAAATAATCTTCAGTACTTTGATGTGTGGAGGAGAAAGATAATGACTAGGTGTTTGCTTAGTCAGACTAGTAGATAATCTGACAAGTGTTAGATGAGCTATATACATTATACCCTTATTATTATTGTGATTGTTGTCAGTTTTTTGATGTGGAAATACATTTACGTTCTAGTCAGGCTAGTCACGTGTTCTTGATATGTGTTGTGTTGATGTCCTGTAGAACAGACACTGAGAGTGTATCTAATATAGGTATTCGTCTAAGGCAAACGAGAGTCCCATTCGTATAGATGAGGAAAACCGTGCGTTATAACAACTTATAGTACATTAATCATAGCTTATGAATAAAGGACTTTTACAAACTATTTGTTTTCATTTTCAATTGTTTAAATAAACGGTGACAAACAAAATATTCTATTTTAATTAGTCAAAGTGATGTGCTTTTTTGATTGTTTCTCTTTTAAATCTCACACGACGTTGAAAAGTTTCCTCATTTGTCAATGTTAATTTTTCCAACATTTACGAGTATTTAAATTATACGTGAAAAACAAACAAACAAACAGTTTCTAGTAGTTCGAATATACAAAAACAGGACATTATATGTTGACATTTACATAGTACAAAAAGAGGAATTTCTTGCGTTACTATAATAATTATCAGGACAAAACATGCAGCGGGAATAAAATTTTAATTAAAATATCCACTTTCTTTTTTTGTTTAATGTTTTCTACCAAATGAAGATATATTTAGATTGTGTTACTGTTATTGATTTATTCTCATCCGTTTTTACGAATTACATATACATATATGTGCTTCCAAATAAATGCCCTAATTCTGGAGGGGATGTATTTCAAAATTTCGGATAACAGGATAACATTTCAAACTGTAAGTACCGGACACGATTCTTAATCTAAATATCAGATTTATAATGCAGCCATATCTGTTTGACGAGCTTTGAAATAAAACATAACCTTTAATACTAATTATTACACCTGTAAACCTATAGTAAATAATATTTTCTTATTCATATACATGTGTTCCTAATAGAATGAGATTTTTAATATGACCAAAGTTACATCCGTTTATGATGATCTTTATCGTTTGTTGATTGTAAATCAATATTAACCTCTTTAGTATTTTGTCATTGATTGAAAATCCACAACGGTCTACAAACTACACTTATACATTACCATAAGCTATCTTCTCTTACGAAATTTATTTCGTTG